TGAAGCGAGGAAGGTGACCTCCACAAGTTCTGCTAGTCTTAATTGAGCAGGATATCTAGAACGCATGTGACAAGCTACTTTCAGCTGAGTCCAACTAGTTCTCAACTGAAACACAAACAGCCTCACAAACAGCTTCCCTCCCTATGTCTCCTGAATACCGAGTTCAATGCTCTTCAATTGTAATTCCCTGCGGCTACTCAAAAGCCTGATGATCCATCTCCCCCAAGAGCTTTGCGCTGTTCACATGACTCATACTTTTATGATTTGTTCGAATGCTTTGTTACTTTAACGCTGATAATAATAATAATCCTTGCGTTTGATATCATAGAATTATACAGCATAGAAAGAGGCCATTCAGGCCATCGTGTCTGTGCCGGCTGTTTGAAAAGAACTATCCAATTCAACCCCACTCCCCCGTGCTCTCTCCATAGCCCTGCAAACTTGTCCTCCGCAAATAATTATCTTCTCTCTTAAAAGTTGTTATCGAATCGGCTTCCACCAGCCTTTCAGGCAATGCATTCCAGATCCCAACAACTCGCTGCGTGAAAAAATTTCTCCTCACTTCCCCTCTGTTTCTAACAACTATTTTAAATCGGTGTCCTCGGGTTCCCGACCCACCCGCCAGGGGAACACAGCGCATTATCACGTCTTCGAGATGTGTCAAAGCGCTTCACAGAATATACTGTGAATTGAATTGACTGTGTATTTTGTAGGCAAATTATCAAATGCGAGGATTATTATCATTAAGCTTCAGTTTCTGCACCATCGTGTAATTTGAGAAGCGATAAAGTCTGGGCACTTCATCAAAGGGTAAGTTCTCCAGGCTTGGCATGATAGAGGGGAAAATAAAATAATTCAACTTGAAAACAAATCCAGCAAGGTTTTATAAAATCAGAATTACGGTCTGTGAAAGATGCACTGCACTGTTCCATCTGCCAAACAGTGTCAATGCAAATTCTGACAGAACGCAGCCTGACAGTGCTATTGTCTTGGCATTGCAGCGTTTTCTCTCTCTCTCTCTCTCTCTTTCTCTGTCTCTCATAACCTGAACATTGCCTTCTTCAATTGCTCAAGAGTCAAATGGCCCCATGTAATGAAGTGTATATGGCACAATTCTTCAGGTGGATCGATCGCCTTGAGAAGTCTGGAAGATGTGATAAGATTCTTATCACGTCTTCGAGGCGTCTCAAAGCGCTTCACAGAATACACCGTAAAGTGTATATTCTGTGGACGCACATATTCAACTGCGTCCATGCATTTACGCTGTGAAACAATCGAATGCGTTACAGCGTCAATCCAGGTCGGCAGAATCAAATTATTTAAGTGAAGGAAATATCCCACTTAAACTTGAGCGATTCGGAGAAGACTGCGATGGTATCATGTTTGTACTACTCGGGAGAAATCAGCCTCGTCTGGTAGCTGGGGCTAGCAAATTACATTCCATGTCATGTTACACTGAACCATCGACATTAAGGGTCTCTCGGTTGATCTATGGTCTGTGATGAGTTTTCTGCTCTCAAGTCAAAGTCAGCAGGAAAGGAATGATACCATCAGCCACTTTCCAGGATTAGGAAGAAATCAAGCCACTATCTATCAACTGTGCTATAAAGTGCCCAGTGAACTATATCCCATTAGAAGCTTCAAGTAAAGAGGGGAGGAAATTGGATGGTGGGAGGACAAATGGGAAGAGATTAATAATAATTATGAAGCTTGCATTTGATATAGCGCTTTTCACGTCTTCTAGACGTCTCAAAGCGCTTCACAGATTATGCTGTAAAGTGAATTGACTGTATATTTGTGGGCGGAAACGCGGCAGCCAATTGCGCACAGCAGCGTCCCCACAAACAGCCGTGGATTGAAAATGACCATTTTTTTATTCTTTTTGTTTTTGGAGGGATTATTATTAGACTGTGTGTGGAGTAAGGAAACTCGCCCGAGGTTTCGCCCTCGATTGAAGATTGAACTTCTACCATCTGATTCTCTTCAATCCTCCATTCTTTGACTAGTTCCCAAAATTAGAACGGCAATTGATAATATTAATAGTAATCCTGCATTTGATATAGCTCCTTATCATGCCTTCGAGACGTCTCAAAGCCCTTCACGGAATATACCGCAATGTGAATTTTGTGATCTAAGGATGTATAACTATGGATGATGGGTCATATTTTAGAATATATTGCGTAGAATAGTTTTAGTGTTTTTTTTTCTCTCCCTCTCACCGATTTAGTGCAATAACGCAAAAGAGAAACGGTAGACAGAGGACTCTTTAAAAAGAAATTCTATCAATCAGAACTGGAATAAGAGACATGAATTGTCATGAATGCAAAATATTTTATTGCTAATGGATTGCAGATGTCAAGCGAATAATTCAAAAACAATGGAAATATGTTCAGACCCGAACATAATCCTTGGTTTATATTTAATAATAATAATCCTTGCATTGGATACAGCGCCTTATCACGTCTTCGAGAGATCACAAAGTGCGTCACAGGATATACTGTGAAGTGAATTGACAGTACATATTGTGGGCGAAATGTCGATCAAATCTTACAGGCAAATTCTTTCTAGGCACAGTTCGCCCTCAAAACGCAAGCAAGAGTAGCACTGAAATTCACCGACAAAAGTAATCAAGGAAAGGCTGCTGAATATTCATTATATATTAACTGAAAAGAATTCCTGAGGGGATCGAGTCCTCCAGCTTAATTAGTCATTCGATTCGTGGCTGCACACGCTCGCTCTCCCTCACAAAATCTCACACCACACGAAGCAGTAATGACCTGGGAAGCAATTTCAGATGGTTGTAACCTGCTACATTGCTACGGTAATGCCAGGTTCTATCTTTAGATGATCTCAGCAAAGCCACAATTTCCCTTCGCCGTTTGAACGCCGCTTCATTGAGTAAAGTGCCACGATTTTCAAATTGTGGATGGGCGCAGCGGATGGTGCAAAGGGACTTTTGTTAAGTTTTGTTACCCGCCGTGTTCAGAAGCAAATTTGCCCAAGTGCAAAAAATAAATGATCCTGATCTCTGTGTGTGTGTGTGTGCGCACCATTCCCTTCCACCTGCTCTCCGCTGACTCCAAACTGTCAGTTGATAAGATTTGTTTAGACGATGAGAGAGTCTGAGAAAATTACATGATAATGGCTGGCAGTGGCAGCGAGCTGTCTTGTGGCTCTAGAGTGCTATGATTTCGAGCACTCAAACTGTCATTCAAGCCTGGCTCAGAGAACTGCAAACCTTATGTAACGCAACAACAATTTCTGGGGGGGGCAGGGGTGGGGGGGGGAAGTCAGCCGGGGTGTCTGACACGTGCGGAAACCCATCAGCGTTGCTTAAGCGTCTCCGAACCAAGCTGAGAATTCCGTGCATCCCACCTACACCTGGCAATCCCAGAGATAGGGTGGCTCCGAGCTGGACAAGCAGTAGGAAGGCTTGCCAGGCGGCGATATCCATACCAAGCTACGGAACAACAAGAACCAGGTTCCACTGAGCAGTGTAACATACCCGGACGTTGTCCAAAACACATTACCGTGCATCGCAATTACAGAAACACTTTAGTTTCTGTGCACGGGATACTGTGACGTCAGCAGGATTGTACCAAGAACCATCTAATGGTCCGTTTCCGGTCCATCCCTTAACAATCACTTAACATGCAGTGATCAGTATGATTGCTTTGCCAAGGTTAACGCACACTCTGGTGGGGGAATAAAGATGGAACTGGCCTTTGCCTGGCCACAGGAGTTCAGCGTGTGGGACCACAACCTCCTGCTTTCAAGGGGCTTGAAAAAAATACCAACTCCAACCGGGAAATGTTTATTTAAACCAGTTGTGTTTTTTTTAACCCAAAAAAAACCCAACTCCTCCACACAAATCACTTGACGCTGGCCGACAAGTCCCACTTGTAATGTGTCTGGCTGCCCAAGGCATTACTGCACGTCAGCGCCTCAACACGTTGCTGGGTCAAACACTTTATTCCTCGCGAGACTCAATTTAACCACATTTCTACAAGTTAAAATCAAAGCCTCCAGCTTAAACACTCCCGTGCCGCCAGGCCCTATGAAACATTGAAACGATGCCTTATATAACACTCGGGCGCTTTGTTCGTTTGCAGAATATATCAAACTGTTCCTTTCGCTGATGTTCTCGGCTCACGCTCATCGCTGAACAAAAAATAAGAGGACTGCAAATCCAAACACGGAAACACTGCGAGCGTTTGGGGAAAGCGATCACAATGAAATACTGCGGTTTCAAATGTCTGGAGGCTTCAATAACTCATGTGTAAGTTTACAGCGTGTTTGTGTGGAGTCCAGTGAGGACAGCCTCATAGACTCACCCTGTGCATTTGACGATTATACAAGTGACTTTTGAGACTTCCCTTGTATTGGGACGTGTTACTTTGGGACGATAGAGAGTTAAATCATAGAAAATACTAAATCTATCCTACTTTAATCCATTGTGTGAAATATTTTACTGTCATCTGTAGTAATAATAATGATCCGCCTTGCCCACCCCCCCACCCCTGCTCTCTCTCTCCCCTTTTTCAAGTCCCGCCTGAAAACCTTCCTGTTCGACCGTGCTTATGGTCACTACCTCCCCTCCGCCCCGGCTCGGAGTCACTGTTTCACTGTTAGGCGCCCTGAGACTCTACCCTGCGTGGAGGGCGCAATGTAAATGCAAATTGTTGTCGTTGTAATCCTCGCATTTGATACAGCGCCTCATCACGTCTTCGAGACGTCTCAAAGCGCTTCACGGGATACACTGCAAAGTGAAGCGACTGTATATTTTCCGGGAGAAACACGGCAGACAATTGTGCTCAGGGGTGTCCCAAATTACTACGATTATTTTCTTCTGAAGGGATTATTATACCGGGAAAAGCGATCCATCAAGCGACTAACAACCGGGTTCCTACTTGTGTGTGGAGTAAGGAAACTTGCCCAACGTTTCGCCCTGCCCGGGGATCGAACCCCGGTCCTCTCGCTTGGGTAAGGAGCTGGCTTACCTGACTGGGGGTTGAGAGAGTCACATTGGGCATTGTACATTTGCACAAACGCTTGGTGCCTTTTAATCAGCTGGGCTTTGGTCCCCTGAGAGGAGAGTCCACACTCCTTCAACCTCTTCTTCAGATCCCGATCCGAAAGCAAGTTGTAGACGACTTTCGGCATCAATTTCCGTTTCATGGTAGTACTGCGGTGAAATAAAACACAAGAGAAACATTGGGTCATTTTAGTGATAATAATAGTAAGCCTTGCATTTAATATAGCGCCTTATATTATTATTATTATTATTATCAGGTCTTTTTTGGAAGGATTATTAGCCCGGAAAGCGTTTGGCCCACAAAATATACAGACAATTCACTTTACAGTGTAACCGGTGAAGCGCTTTGAGACGTTTCAAAGACGTGATAAGGCCCTACATCGAATGCAAAGATTATTACCATTATTATTATTACCTCCCTCTGGAAAAATCACAGTGGCCTCTGTCACCTCCTGCGTTTTCATTTCGTAAACGCAGGTGGCAATGAAAAGACACATCTGGAGGCCTATGGGGGCTCTCTGCTTTATATAGCTTCTTGTTTCAAAGTCAGCAGTGTAATTCCGCAGAGATGCTACATATTTATTAGCTGAAGGATCATTGGTCATGTTATCTCAACAGGGTTCCCTTATAATAAGCAGAGGTTACCAAGAGAACTATCGTGTGAGCAACTGAGTTATACAGACTATGTTGAGTTAGCTGAACCATTAGGTGACATTTGTTATGCTACAACTGGTCTTTTATTCTCACACGTGGGGTCCTGTGGCTCAGTGGTTAGAGCACTTGCCTCGCAAGCGAGAGGACCTGGGTTTGATTCCTGGGCAGGGCGAAAAGTTGGGCAAATTTCCTTACTCAACACGCCTCTGTTTAACTGACAATAAGTAGGAATCCGGTTGTTAGTTGATTGGCGGATCACTTTTCCGAGGGGAATAATACCTTCAAAAAAAAATGGTAATAATAATTTGGTCACTCAATCCACGGCTGTTTGTGGGGACGCTGCTGTGCGCAATTGGCTGCCACGTATCGCACACAAAATATACAGTCACGACACTTTACAGTGCAGCTAACCTCAGTTGGACAGGCAATTCTTTGGTGCAAAACATCAGCACTTCAATTCTGATGAAAATGTGGTAGACGTTATTGCACAAAACTTTTCCAGAACCTAGTTAGAACAAGGAGTACTTGGCTCTTCGGGGAAAGATGCTTCGAAATAAAAATCCTAATTTGATTGTAGAGCAATGCGATTACACAGAGCACCAGCAGCGAAGTGGTTGAACCGTGACGAGCGAGTTAGACACAGTACAATCCTATCCCGGGGAATGCCAGATACATCTCAAGAGTAAGTTACAAATAATTTCTAAAACATCTTATCCCCTCCAGCTTTGCAACTCTCCCCGATGGATAATTTTACATAACAAAGTCTGTGGCATGACAGATTCTGGTTCCTGCAGCATCTCTAAATGCACTCAAGAGTCTGAATACGCAGCAGATAACATTCACCAAAGAGAACTGTGCTCTTTATACTGACGAGGGCTCATTAAAATAAATATTGCAAACTGATTTCAGAGAAATTAAACACCTCTCTTTTTTTTCATCGCCACCTGTCTTTTCTATTGCTTCCCCTAAAATCGCTCTCCTCTCAACCGTCACCTCTTCTGATGATAATAATAATAATAATCCTCGCATTTGATACGGCGCCTTATCGCATCGTTGAGATGTCTCAAAGCGCTTCACAGGATATACTGTAAAGTGTAGTGACTGTATCTTTTGTGGGCGAAACGCTGCAGCCAATCGCGCACAGCAGCGTTCCCCACGAACAGCCGTGGATTGAGGGACCAAACTATTACTTTTTTTTTGAAGGGATTATTACCCTCAGAAAACGATCGGCCATTCGACTAACTTACTGCCGGGTAAACAGAGGCAGATGGATAAGGAGACTCCAAATATGCGTCGCTTATTTTCTTACTCCTCCCTGCATTCTCAAAGGTGATGAAATTGACTCACAGCGCCACCGATTATTCCAACTCATTTACCTCGAGAGAAACCTACTTCACCTTATTTCAACCTCGGAAAATCCTTAGAAAACCCTTCCTCCTACAAGCCACAGGCTTAATATCTCGCACTGTAATACCATTCAATACTACTTCTTGACTTATGTTGCCTTCTCACTCTCTCTCACTCTTTTAAATGTTGGCCTTTGATCCTTCACCTGTTTCTCAATTTGAAAACAAATGGAATTTGATACGGCCACATTTCCTGAAATGGCCCTAGTAATCAAAATAAGCTTTTCCAACGCTCCCCATGTGTGGAGGCTGTGTTGCACCTGGGAACGTCACATACTCTTCTTGTTTTGATCATCCCTCCGCCTCAACCCCTCTTTATCTATCTTTAAATCCCACCTTAACAATTTACCTCTTCGGTGGTTTAATTTTTTTAAAAAAAATAATAATTTAGTCACTCAATCCACGGCTGTTTGTGGGGACGCTGCTGTGCGCAAATTGGCTGCCGCGTTTCGCCCACAAAATACACAGTCGCTACGCTTAGCAGTATATCCAGTGAAGCGCTTTGAGACGTCTCGACAACATGATATCAAATGCGAGGATTATTATTTATTATTACAGCAATGCAAGTTGTTTGTTACGGGTCACCTCCTGCTGTCCTATCGACTGCTAATTCCGAAGGACAGGTTGTCAGGTTGTTGTTCAGTAAAGCTAATTGCGGGAAGGAGAATTGGAAACGGGCGAGTTCAAATAATGGGGAGGGAATGAGCTCCAGATGTGGTGAGCTGTCTGGAGGTTCTTGGCTTGCGTGTTTACTTGTGGCTTCTATGTTATGCATTCTTCTTATTCTTCATTTTTAGTTGTCATGTTTTTGGGAGTGTGTTTTTATTTTTTGCAGTTAGTACAAATCATGGAGTCCAGTAGCTCAGCGTCAGAGCGCTCGCCTCTCTCACGAGAGGACCTGGGTTCGATGCCCGGGCAGGGCCAAACTTTAGGCAAGTTTCCTTCCAGTGCCTTGGGGCGTCCTCCCGACGCGAAAGGCGCTATACAAATGTAATTTTGTTGTTGTGGTTACTGTACACATACCTCTGTTTACTCAACAGTAAGTAGGAACCCGGCTGTTAGTCGCTTGGCAGATCGCTTTTCCGGAGCTTATAATCCCTTCAAAAATAAATTTGGTCACTCAGTCCACGTCTGTTTGTGGGGACGCTGCTGTGCGCAATTGGCTGCCGCGTTTCACCCAAAAAATATCCAGTCAATTCACTTTACAGTGTATCCTGTGAAGCGATTTGAGATGTCTCGGGGACGTGATGAGGCGCTGTATCAAATGCAAGGGTTATTATTATTACTTTCTTTCAACACATGTTTTGAATTCCATAAATTGTTGTATATGTTCCTAGAATCAGTGTAAAACACTTCAAGATTTTCCATCTTTCCTCTTTTGATCCTTTCTGCCTTTTCTTCATTGACTTACTTTGTCCAGATAATTAATATTATTGTCTAATCATAACTCTTGATCACCCACCACACATCGACTTTGATTTAGTAACAGTTAATTCACTTTACAGTATATTCTGTGAAGCGCTTTGAGACGTCTCAAAGACGTGCAAAGGTGCTATGTCAATGCAAGGATTATTATTATTATATCCAGCTAATCACAAGAACATTTGTTAAAAAATCCCTAAACTAATGATGAATGAACCGTTAAAAAAAAAGACACAAAAAGCCTTATTTTGGTTGTGATTTCAGAGACCCAAGGTCCCAGGCTGTTATTTTAAATAATTTTGTTCTGATAAATGATATTTTGTGTAAGTAAATGTTCTTCAGGTAGTAGGGAAATGTGTGGCCCCTTCCACAATGAAACCTCTCTCTGTATAGACGGTTGAACATTCGCTGGTTAAGAAAATGGAACAAAGAACAAAGAGTAAAGCTTGTCCTAGGGTTACGCGTAGAAACAAATGTAGTTTCAGAAACACTCTCTCCTTTGACAGCCACACTCCTCTTTTCTACTTGTTGGCCAGCCGGCTGTCTGATACACACGGAAACCCGTTAAGAGTCTCTTAATGGGATTCTTAATGCTTAAGAGCTTCGGGACCAGACAGAATTCCACATATGCTTGCCACCCACGCATGGAAATTTCCCCGTGTCAGGAATGGAATTCATTCACACTCTCTCCTTGGGAACCATGCACATGCCTAATACTAATGACTAATAATTAATTAAGCGCAAGTTGGGGAGAGCCGAGGCTTGGGGACCCCAAAGTGCACTTTGGAGTACTAGCTAAACCTGCATAGCTTGCCATTGAGAGCACGGCCTGGCTAGCTTCCTTACAGTGAGCCCGTCTAGCGAGGAACACCCTATCTGTTTGGATTTTAGTTTGCTGGGTTAACAGGAGCCAAGTGGAAAGATTCACTGTCCCCAATGACCAGTCTGCCCCTCAAAGTCTTGATGGAATACAGTAGATCAGTTTGTATACACTGTACCTTCGCAAGCTCTCTATCTTGTCTTCTCGTGCTAAACAGTTGTCTAGGTGCCTGTTGATGTTAGCTTCAGAAATGTCAACACTGCAGATTGGACACTGCACTGAAGGAACGAAAAGAGAAAGCACAAGTTAGACACCAACAGCTACAAACGAGCTAAGAGCAAAGACATTTCAATTGTTTGTTTCTGCTGCTTTCTCCCGTTTTCCCTTTCCTCAGATTTTTTGTGGTCAGCCAAGTGTCTGACACACGTGGAAGCCCATCACCGAGCTTACTTACACCCCACCTGGTTTGGAGTCTCCAAACCAAGCTGAGAATTCATTGCATCCCACCTACACGTGGAAATCCCAGAGATAGATTGTTGGAATGGAATCCGCTCTCTCTCGCTGGAGGGACATATCCTGCTTACCTAATTCTGGTATTAGGCGCAGGTTGGCAAGAGCCATGGTTTGGGGGAGTCCAGAGTTTGCGTTGGGGGTAACTGCTGCAGTCTGACTCGCTAACTCACCCTGGCACCCGGTTCCACACACACTGGGCAATAAGACTCGCCACACGTAGCTCACAGTAAAACCACTGATCCTTTCTCAGTGAAAACCCAAGCTGTTAGTATCGGGAACCAACCCTGAGCCTCATTCCAACAGCAGCAGAGATACGACGACGACGACAACAACTTGCATTTGTATAGCGCCCTTCACACATGATACCATCCCGGAGATCACTGTGTTGTGATCAGGAGCGGGAACCCTGTCTGATTTTCCCCTCCCATTGCTCTCTATCCCAAAGCCAATTGTAGCCTTGCCCAGATCAATGAATTCAGCATAGTCTGTGAGAGTCAATCCAGTCCCTTTGCTCATCTGTATAACGACCACATCACCAGTCAATACACTTACTCAATACAAGCTGCAATGTGTAAGGTACAGGGCATTTATGGTTCTTACTCTATATTGACTCATGGTGAACATTTCTCTCCAAATAACATACACGGTATCCTCCTGAATTAGCAGATGGGACCCCTGTTTTAACATCCTGTTTGACGAGCAGCCTCACCAGCAATGTAGGGCTTCCCCCAGCGCTGCAAAAAAGCTTCAGCCAAGATACAAAGTCCCGATAGATACAGTGCCCAAACCCACAACCAACCTTCTCTGACCCAGAAGCAAGAATGTTTCCCATTGAGCCAAATAGCGAGAAATAATCTCACCTTTCGCTGCTAAACTGGACGTAGAAGGTGCCTCTGTGCAGAGGGCGATGCTCTCGCTCGGGAGGGCCGTGTTATCAGATGAAACGCTTGCCGTTCGTGCAGCGATTGCTCTAAGTTTCCCCTGTTGGGGGCCTTTCAGCTGCTTGATGGACGGGGCTAGCGAAGCCTTCGCAAGTTTCGAGGAAGGGCTCCTGGTCAGGAATCTCTCCATGGCTGTGATGGACGGTGCCATGTTAGCATGGCCCCTGGGGCCTCCGGGTGGCTTTTCCGAAGCGGATTTGGGCATCGTCTGGGTTGGTGACGGCGACGGTTCCAAATCACACTCCAACAGCAACTCCCTACGGGAGGAATCCCAGGGAGCACAAACAGACGATCGATTAACCTCACTCACCGCACGTGTGCCGCCCCTCGCGCAACGGGCGGGCGCGTTTTCGCCCACGAAATACACAGTCAATTCACTTTACGGCGTACCCTGTGCAGCGCTTTGAGACGTCTCGAAGACGTGATGAGGCGCTGTGTCAAAATGCAAGGATTATTATTAGTAGTATTGTTATTATCCATTCCTCAGTCTATTCCCCCTCCAGTATTCCTTGTTAAGAGAGCGCTGGCAGACAGCTCGACAGACCACTGGGGCTTACAGTCGATACAAATGTTTATTCATTTGACAAGCGAGCGTGTGGCTTTATGGCCCCAAGCATTACTCTTACAGCCTTCAGGGCACAGTGTTGGGAGTCAAGTCTTTGGGCATCAAATCCTCGGTGCACCACGTACCTCTGCGACCACGGGCAGCTGAATTGCTTTCCGTCCAGATCCTAACCACCGCAGGCAGCTCAAACGTAACCATCTAACCTTAAATTCCGCCTCCCAGATCAGATGCCTTCCGTGGCATGACATTGCCATGTTTCCTGCAGCTTAAGTAGGAGCCATTATGCTCCACAAAGCAATCAATCGACTCTGTGTAGACGTACGTATCCTTCTAATCCTCGATCCTGTTCCAGATCACTTTTTTTTTTGAACAAAACAAAAATCACCCAATTTCTCTCCTGGAATTGGAATCAATGCTTCATAACCATCATCGTCCTCATAATAATAATAATCCTTGCACTTGATACAGCGCCTTCAAGACGTCTCAAAGCGCTTCACCGAATATACTGCAAAGTGAACTGACCGTACATTTTGTGGGCAAAACGTGGCAGCCAATTGCACACAGCAGCGTCCCACAAACAGTCGTGGATTGAGTTTAAATTAAATGCCGTGAGACTACTGGTGGAGCCATTGCAATCACCTTTAAATCATTACTTTAATTAAATATAATTAAATTATATTTCGTCGAAAAATATACAGTCGGTTCACTTTACAGAATGTCCTGTGAAGCGCTTTGGGACGTCTCAAGAACGTGATAAGGCGCTGTATCACCTGCAAAAATTATTATTTATTATTATTAATACAGCATCAACTGTTTAGCAAGATAGTATTAACTGCTGTAGCTGAGTCTCAAGTCATAGTCACCAATTTCACCCAGGAGTGAGGGAGGGAAGAGATAGGGGGGGAGAGAGAGAGAGAGAGAGAGAGATGAAATCCAAATCAGTATTCTGTATTTCTGGATAGTTTATAATACTGTATGTTTCAAGTTAGTTGAGGAAGCAGATTCCTCAGCCAGAAGGAAATAATATAATAATAATCCTCGCTTTTGATATAGCGCATTATCACGTCTTCTCGTCGTCTCAAAACGCTTCACAGAATATAAAGTGAATCGACTGTAATACTGTGCGGGAGAAACGCGACAACTGCGCACATTGATTTCCCCACAAACAGTCGCGGATTGAGTGACCAAATTACTATTATTTTAAAGTAGCAGGAGTCCGATAAGCCTCACGTAGCTTCATCTCATAATCTGAGGTTATACGGCCAGTAATAAACTCTCGATTTCTACTCGACTTCAAACTCTGTGCCCTCATGACTCACAAGTTTTTTTGGACTACTTTAAAGAACAGTGCGTTCGGCTCAGATTGTGGTCTGAACGTGTAAATCTTGGTCTCGTTCATCAAGTCCAAACGACTTGGATGCAGCTGGAAGGAAAGTCGTTGTATATTTATTACATGTCACGTAAGCTCCTTTGCGAAGCTGAACCAAACTTGCTCCTGCCCAGTGGAATTTAAATGGGAACATAATAATAATCCTTCATTTGATACGGCGCCTTATTATGTCTTCGAGACGTCTCAAAGCGCTTCGCAGGATACACTGTGAAGTGAACTGACTGCATATTTTGCGGGCGAAACGCAAAACGTGGCCTTCACGGCGAAAAGAATCCGCCGTAAAGTACGTTTGGACCGAGAAGAGAGAATATTGTTCACTAAAAAATCCCGTTTCAATTCTTTTCTCTCTCCCCCGTTTTCCTGCCGCGAAAACAGCTCCAACGACCGCAACAACAGAGTCCCCGAGAGCCGGGCGTCAGTCCTAACAACAACAACAACAACAACAAGAAGGTACCAGTTATAGAGCTAAGGTTCCTAAAGCATCAGTCGTTCGAGCGATGACATTTACCGGTGAGTCTCGCGAGCGAGCGCCAGCCGGCGGAGGCCATTCGGCCGCGGGTGGGACCCCAGCAAACAGCTGACCCCGCCGCGCCGATCGTCTGCGCACTTTGTGGCGAGGATCCCTGGATGGTGATCAAAAGCAGGACCCCCGACTATCTTCACCGCCCCCACCCCTCCCCCCCACCCCCACCACTCCCCCCATAACCTTGGGTCCCGGAGCCAGACTGTAGCGCCCGCTTTGTGACGGCGGTGATGAGGTTCTCCAGCGCTGCGCGGGGACCAGGAATAGGAGCCGCCATGTAACTCGTCTGAACGGCTCTGACGACAAACTGGGCAGAGGCTCTGAGCCTACGGGTGGGGGTGGGTGGGGGTGGGGTGGGCGGCGGTGGGGTGGGTGGGGTGGGTTGGGGGGGGGGTGGGGGTGGGGGGGGGGTTGCTTGACCCTGAACCGGGTCACACCCAGAAGCAACGCGTGTTCCTGCCCTCTTTTTTTTTTTTTTTAACGCGTGCGACGTTTGCCGCTGTTTGAAAACCTGATCGACAACAGCAACAATAACGCCGCGTCGTCGAGACGTCTCAAAGCGCTTCGCAGGGGACACCCCGTCAGGTGTGGTGACTGTGCGCTTTGTGGGCGAATCGCGGCAGCGGCAGCGGCAGCGGCAGCGACGTCCCCACAAACCCGCGCGGCTGCAGCTCAACCCCCACCTCCTCTCACTGCCGACACGGGGGCCCGGAGGGGCCTCGGAGCCACTCTGCCTCGAGCTCAGCCCCGGGGCCGCCTTCCTGACAGCGAGACCGGCACCGGGAGGACTGGTACACCCTGGAGGACTGGCACTGGAGGACTGGTACACCCTGGAGGACTGGCACTGGAGGACTGGTACACCCTGGAGGACTGGTACACCCTGGAGGACTGGCACTGGAGGACTGGTACACCCTGGAGGACTGGCACTGGAGGACTGGCACTGGAGGACTGGTACACCCTGGAGGACTGGCACTGGAGGACTGGCGCTGGAGGACTGGCGCAGGTTTTGCCACTCGGGGGTTCTGCGGCTTCAGCGCAAACCGCGCAACAAAATAAACTAAAACAACAACAACAACAACGACAACACCACCACCACCAATAATTCGGTCACTTCACCCCACGGCGGTTTGTGGGGCCGTCGCCGCGAGCAGTCGGCTGCACTCGCACAGTCACTACACTTCCAACGGCGCGACCCCGTGAAGCGCTTCGTGACGTTTCGCGAAGACGTGTAGTGAGGCACCGGGTCAGAGACCTCTCGGCTATTAATTATTATTGTTATTCATTGTTATTTATTACTAATTATTGTTATTTATTATCATTTATTGTCATTTATTGTTGATCATTAGGATTTATTGTTAACCATTGTGATTTCTTCTTATTTTGGGGATTAATTATGACCACTTATTATTTATATTGTTAATTACTTCGCTTATCCGTCGCCGGCGTCGCCGCTCATTGTCACTGTCGTGGGACTGCGGTTTTTTTTTTGTTGATTATTAATTACGAATCAGTGAATGATTCTTCTTAGTATCGTTGTTGTGATACATCGACCGCAGCGATGAAATCCCGACCCTGCGGAAAGGACGACCCCGACTTATAACGGTCCGCGGGGCCTCCCACCCGCCGACTCCGCCCGACAGAAGGTGTTCGTACCTCACAGAACGAAAGCACTTCACCAACTCGTCCAAGAGTCTGTTATTCCTCAGCTCAGGCTCCGTGACTGTCTGTGAGGAACGAGGATGAGAAATATATTTACATATATATGTATATATATATATATCAATATTGACCACCAGCTGATGGCTGGAAGCTGCTATTCCCCGGCGTGAAAATCCCCGGCCGACTCCACAGCCGATTTGCCCCTCGTTCCCTCCGCCCCACCATCGGTGGCTTTGCCTTCAGCCCCTACGCCCCGAAACTCTGGAGCTCTCTACCCTCAATCCCTCCGCCTCGCACCCCCCGCACCTTCCTCCCTCCTCACCTTCAAATTTCACCTAAAGACCTTCCTTTTTGACCCCCTCCCACCCACCCACCCACTCCCCCCCCCCCCCCCACTCCCGACACCGTCCCGAGCTCCGGGACACTAACCCGCGCGAAGGGGCGCTGCGCAAATGCAAGTTGTCGTCGTCGTCGAGAGCGCAATATTTCGGTAACAGCACAAATGTCTTTTCCTCTCCTCCCCCCAACCCCCTCCTACACCCATCACCATTCCCTCATCATTCTGGCTTCCCCCCTCCCCCAAACCCACCACCCCTCGACCCAGTCACACACACACTCTCTCTCTCTTTCTCTCTCTCTCTCAAATGAGACGCAGAGTAGAAAATGTCCAGCAACAGGAAGGGCCATCTGCTGGGCTGCTCTCTGGCATCTTCTGGTGGACAGACAGGACAACAGCAGCGATAATACTACTACTAATAATAATAATAATCCTCACATTTGATACGGCGCCTTATCACGTCTTAAAAGTGAATTGACCGGATATTTTGTGGGCGAAACGCGGCAGCCAATTGCGCACGGCAGCGTCCCGGCAAACAGCCGTGGGTTGAGTGACCAAATTATTGGGTATTTGGGGTTCAGCGGCGATTTCCTCTATTTTGCCCCAAATTACTGTAGAGTCTCAAAAAAGGAAGATAAGGATCTTTCGGGGGCAATTTTTTATTATTTTTTTTAATCGATTTGCACCACAGGACAAGGTGTGAAACACAACCGAGAAGCCCCAGAAATATGTTTCCAATAAAGATGTTCAGTTGTAGTTTTATGAGGTGATTCACTGGAGCGAGTGAAAACCTTTGACAGAACTGGTGGAAATCCATCGAGTTTGGCAGCAGTTTTGTTTTGGCAAATGAAATCCGTTCATTTTATCTTCAAGATTGCCTTGGAATATTATGTCCTCTTAGTTCAATTCTTCACGGATTTCATATTAAAAACGAGAGGTGTAAGAAATCGATCTAAAATATGAGGGGAAGTCAAACACCAACTGCAAATAGGGACGTACAAACCAGTTTCGAAAGTGACATTTAGATTGAAATAACAGAGGCCACAAATTATGTTGTCGGTTATTAAACAAAAAAAGAATGAGAGGGTTATAAAACATTCTCTTTGTTTCGCCCACAAAATCCACAGTTTACACTATATTCTGAGACGCATCAACGACGTGATAAGGCGCCATATCAAATGCAAGGATTATTATTATGACGATGAAACGTCTCCGGCTTATTATTTTATGGAGAAGGTTCCCGGGTAGTTGGGAACTTGCTGCTTCGAGACAGAGGGAATCATTTTACTCACCGCACAGCAGATTGGACACTGAGTTTTATAAGACAGGAATTTCCGTACGCAAAGCGAACAATCTAGAGAGAGGGAGAGAGAGAGAGAGAGAGAAGGCCAAGATTAAGGAATGTGGCAGATTTATTGTTTTATCATCCTTCGGGCTTGTCAGCAGTGAATTATGTAACTCAATCCTCAATGTCCTTAAAGGCCCCTTCCGTCCTCAGAAACCCGTGGCCTGAAAAAAAATAGGAATCCAGCAACAACAACTTGCATTTATATAGTGCCCCTCTTGTAGGATAGCGTCCCAGAGCGCTTCAACTCAGGAATGGCAGCCGCGGGCGGGAAATAGAATTACTATTGACGATAATAATAATCCCGGCATTTGATACGGCGCCTTATCACGTCTTCGAGACGTCTCAAAGCGCTCCACAGGATACACTGTAAAGTGAATTGACTGCACTCCCCGCGCCTCTGTTTGCTCAGCAGTAAGTAGAAACCCGGTTGTTAGTCGATTGGCGGATAATAATCCCTTCAAATAATAATAATAATTTGTTCACTCGATCCACGACTGTTTGTGGGACACTGACTGCTGTGAGAGTTTCGCCCACAAAATACAGTCAATTCACTTTACAGTGTATCCTGCGAAGCGCTTTGAGACGTCTCGAAGACGTGATGAGGCTCTGTGTCAAATGCGAGGATTATTATTATTATTAGTATTATTATTAGTAGTAGTAGTAGTAGTATATCACACTCGGGGCTGCATTAGCACCGTGTCTGATAAACAGCACTGTATGAAACGGCTCCAGAGACACTCACAGTTATGCGAACACTGAGGGATGATCATGGCAATGTCGAAGTACTCGAAGCAGATGCCGCAACGCAGGAGGTCGTCGACGGGCTGGAAGCACAACACAAAGAAGGACTGTAAAGAACCCAGTTCCTGTGCTTTCACTTAAGTAACGTGGGTGCGGGTGAATGCTCGGGAGCAAACCAGATGGGTCTCCATTGTCAGATAACCTGACATCGCTTTGTTGTGCCGGGACACTGGGAGAGAAAGTCCCTTCTCCCGTGTCCAATACAGTAGGATAAGGGGATATTCACCCACACGGGCAGAGGGGCCTCGGGGTTTAATGTCTCAACCGAAGGACGGGACCTCTGACGGCGCAGCGCTCCCCCCAGCGCTGCCCTGGAGGGTCGGCCCTGGTAACCCGGACGCGTTGAGACCGTGGGACAAGAATGTGTTTTCTTTTTTGTTTCCAAAAGAAAATGCGGATTTATTTCCCGCAGTTCGAATATTTACAAATAGGTAATCGGGGTCTGACCCCCACTGCTGAATGTTTACAAACACTCCGTCAGTTACAAAGCTGTTTATAGTGTTTATAGTAGGATCTTCAGGGCTGTAAAGCTGCTGTTTCCCACCCTACCCGGGGGGAGCACATCAGCACATCAATGTCTCCCCCCCCACACCCCCACCCACCCCCCACACCCACACACACCCCCACCCCCACACACACCCACCCCCACCCCCACACACCCCCACCCCACATACACACACACACCCACACCCCACACACACACACACCCCCACCCCCCACCCACCCACCCCCACCCCCACCCCCCCCCCCCACCCCCCCACACACACCCCCACCCCCCCCCACCCCCACCCCCCCCCCCCCCACACACACCCCCACCCCCCCCACACACACCCCCACCCCCCCCACACACACCCCCACCCCCCGCCACACACACCGCCCCCCCTCTTAGGTCTAACCACGAAGTCTAGGTGTGTGTCTCCCCCCCTCTCCCCCCGGGGTCTCCCCCCCCTCTCCCCCCGGGGTCTCCCCCCCTCCGGGGGGTCACTGCGCGTCACTGAACCGCTACAACGTATCGTTTACCTTCAACAATCGCCGCGTCTCAAACTGATACATTGTAACAAAAAAACCGCTCAGCGCTTCCGGTCACTACAGCGTCGCTCCCGCACTGACGTCACCGCGAGAGAGTGAGTGACAGGAGAGAGAGAGAGAGAGTGAGTGATGGAGAGAGAGAGAGAGAGAGTGATGGAGGGAGAGGGACAGAGAGATAGAGGAGCCTCAGACACACAGAGAGAGAGAGTGAGAGACAGAGAGTGATAGAGAGTGAGTGAGAGACAGAGAGTGATAGAGAGTGAGAGACAGAGAGTGATAGAGAGAGAGTGAGTGAGAGACAGAGAGTGATAGAGAGATAGAGAGTGAGAGACAGAGAGAGATAGAGAGTGAGTGAGTGAGAGACAGAGAGTGAGAGACAGAGAGTGATAGAGAGATAGAGTGAGAGACAGAGGGAGGAGGAGCCTAGAGAGAGAGAGAGGGGAGTGGGTGTGCGTGTGTGTGTGGGTGTGTGTGTGGGTGTGTGTGTGGGTGTGTGTGCGTGTGGGTGTGGGTGTGTGGGTGTGGGTGTGTGTGTGTGTGTGTGTGTGTGAGTGTGGGTGTGTGGGTGTGGGTGTGTGGGTGTGCGTGTGGGTGTGGGTGTGTGGGTGTGTGTGCGTGTGGGTGTGTGGGTGTGGGTGTGTGGGTGTGCGTGTGGGTGTGGGTGTGTGTGTGGGTGTGTGTGCGTGTGGGGGTGTGGGTGTGGGTGTGCGCGTGTGTGTGTGTGTGAGTGTGGGTGTGTGGGTGTGCGTGTGGGTGTGGGTGTGGGTGTGTGTGCGTGTGGGTGTGTGGGTGTGGGTGTGTGTGTGCGTGTGGGTGTGTGTGCGCGTGTGGGTGCGTGTGGGTGTGTGTGTGTGGGTCTGTGTGTGTGTGTGGGTGTGTGTGCGTGTGTGTGTGAGTGTGGGTGTGTGGGTGTGGGTCTGTGTGTGGGTGTGTGTCCCCCTCCGGCCCCACATGTTACCGGTCGGTGGCTTTTTATGCTGAAATAAATTCCAAACGGTTTCGGTTCACTCCGCGTCAGAGGCCGTGCGTTGTGTGAGGCCCGAAAGCGCTCACCGCGTCGCCGAGACCGGACATCGGCCGAAACCCGTCGAGCGACAACCAGCACTCCCGCACCCGTCAAAGCTCCGCACCGTTACGTCTCAAATCTGCTTAACCCGTCGGGGAAGTCGAAACCCCCCCCTCCCTCGCCCCCCCACCCTCCCCCCCTACAACTTCCCCAGGCCTTTTCGATCGGCAATTCGCTCGTGTGTCCGCGCGCGTTTATTTCCGGCCATCGCGTTGCCGTCGGACTCTCCTTCCGATCGAATACGGAGCGACGCGATTGCTGGGCTCGCGGAGCCCATCGCGTTTACCGGCAGCCTCGGCAAATAGTCCCCCAACGGTCGGCCGGCACTTAACCTTTAGCGTTTGGGCGCCGCGGGTCCTTATTGTGCACTGAAACTCAACGGGACAACACCTCCCCTGATGCTCTTCCGTGCACGTTGGGTCCTGACCCACTGCCGGCGCTCTCCCGGGAGCTAAGATAATCTCGGCTGATACTCTACCCGGGAATTTGGCTCTCCCCGGATCGGGTCCGGATTCCTCACAATTTTACAATGGTGGGAAGATAAAACGAGGCATAAATCATAGCTCTCGATTTAGGGAGAGATCCTGTACTTCTGCAGCAGATTCGAGCCTCGGCTCCCAAATCCTGAATAAAATGATCAATGCCACATGTTAATTCATCCCACCCGCATTCCCTGTTATTTCCAGGGATGATAAATAGTTGTTTGTCGATTGGCGGATCGCTTTGCTCCGGGGGTAATAATAATTCCTTCACCAAAAAAAAATTGGGTCACTCAATCAGCTACTGTTTGTGGGAGACTGTTGCGTGCAATCGGCTGTTGTGTTTCACCCACAAAATAATAATAATAATAATATTATTATAATAATAATCCTTGCATTTGATATAACACTTTTTCACATCTTCGAGACGTCTCAAAGCGCTTCACAGGATAGACTGTAATGAGAATTGACTGTATATTTGTGGACGAAACCCGGCAGCCAATTGCGCACAGCAGCGTCCCCACAAACAGCCGTGGATTGAAAATGACCGATTTTATTATTGTTTTATTTTCTCGAGGGATTATTATCAGGTGTGTGGAGTAAGGAAACTCGCCCAACGTTTCGCGCTGTCCTGCCCGGGAATCGAACCCGGGTCCTCTCGCTCCAGGACTCCCAAGTCCTGTCAATCCACTTCACAGTCTATTCTGTGAAGGGCTTTGAGATTTCTCGGAGACTTATCAAGGTATCAAACGCGAGGATTATTTGTATTACTTTCCTTCAACACATGTTTCCAATTCAAAAAATTGTTGCATACGTTCCCAGAATCAATGCAAAACACGTCAGGTTTTTCCATCTTTCCTCTTTGGATCCTTTCTGCCTCGTCTTCCTTTGTCTAGAATATTATTATTATTATTATTATTATTTTCTAATCTTGACCGTCCACCACACATCGACCTTGACCGTGTCCTCTAGTCCCGAAATATTTTATGAACAGGGGTATAATTTCCAAGATTATACCTCACGTCTTTTGAAAAATGGGGGTAACATTTGTACCTCAGTCCTCGGGATCTTTTGGAATAACAAGGAGATCTCTTTCCGCAAACGGCTGGTCAATTACAATAAAATATTTCGGGACGAGAGGACAGAGTCAAAGTCGATGTGCGGTGGGTGATCAAGATTAGAAAATAATGATAACTTATGGATAAATACTCTTTAGAAATATCAATCGGGGCCTCAACTATTTCTTCTTGTATTTCCTCGCGTAGCTGAGGACGTCTCTTGTCTGAATGCTTTGTAAACACTCAATCCATTAAACTTTCTTCATAGGATGTACGCAACATGCAACAAAGAAGTCTGAGCTAAAACATCTGCATCCGGAATTTGACCCCAGACTTCATTTGTGAAGACTGATGTGAAAGATTTATTTAAGACGTCTGCCTGCGGTTTAATTTTCTGTATCACTTCTTAAGCTTCGCCCACAAAACAGTCAATTCACTTTACAGCAAATCCTGCGAAGCGCTTCGAGGCGTCTCGAAGACGTGATGAGGCCCTATAGCAAATGCAAGGATTATTATTATTATTTTTATTATTATGATTAAACCCACTCTCTTAAAAGACCCCCATTTGCTTTTCACCACAATCTCTACTGTTGGAAGAGCGAAAGATAACTGGTAGGATCCTATTTTTCTAACTGCCTCCAATTTCTAATCTGCTTCGCACTTCACCTTCCCAGTTACTGATTAACAATTGCCCGTCCATCCCTCTGCTTAGTGAGATAATGCCTCTGATCCGGAGTTCGGAAAGAACTAATTGCGGTCTCTCAATCAATTCTGTTGTCCTCGAGGGAAGCCAGTCAGGGTATCAAATGTGATTGATGTCCTTTTGTTAAGATATACAGTTTGTGAATTTTAATGAGTCCGGTTCCTGACAGTATTCACGGCTACAGAAAGGTTGGCCATAGCGTTGCCACTAAATTCTGTTGCTTAACTTTGTTCGCATCAGATTGGAGGGTGGTTTTCAGACACGTAGTTCTTAGGAAACCTTAAGACAGTTTGCTGGAGGTAAAAGTGTCTGCAGGAACATTTCAATGTCCTTCCGGTCTCACATTCATAATGTGGTCTCACCGGTGATCTATCCAAGATTAGGATAATTTCTTTCAACTTACAGTCAATATCTTTTAAGATGTAAGATAGTATTTATTAACGTTGTTGACAACATTGCAGCGAGCGAGCGATAATCACAACCAACATCTTTGCCCACGTTTGCTTCTGTGCAACCGCTGTACTTCAGACCTTTGATCTTCTGTTCAACAGGAAATTTGTTTTTTTTAAAAAGATTAGTTAATTAGAGAGGAAGACACGAGAGCATTTAGTCATCATATTTTAATATGGGGAATTTGAGTAGATTGCTTTGTTCAGGAGCTACACATATAAAGTGTGTCCACCAACAATTCTGAGATTAGAAAAAATATGGAGTGACGACTAGTCTGTGAGTGAAGGGGGTAAATTCAGAACAAATCTGCAGAAACACTACTTCGGTGAACCAGTAGTAAACTTAGTTATTAATTACTATTTATTAAGCTTTGAGACATCTCGAAGACATGATAAGACGCTATATCAAATGCAAAGATTATTATTATTTTTATTATTATGGAACAGGCTCTCTTGGGCCACAGTGGAAGCAGAAAATGTCATTTATCTCAAGAATAAATTAGACAGATTCCTGCTAGAAAATAATATCTGGAGATACGCGATACACTGTAGTTTGGGACACAACATGTCAAACGACTGCCAGGATGGTGGAAAGCGAACTAGATGGACCTTGATCTTCTTTCACCAGCAAATGCTTATGTTCTTATCTTATATCTTGAAATAAGTGTTTGTTATATAAGTATATCTTGAAATAACTACAATTAATGCCTTTTTGTGCAACATCATCATTATCCTTTGTCCATAGAAATAAAAGTTTATTATATATATACATAGAATATATATATATATAATATATAGAAGTTTATTTTTTAAAATTTTTGTTCTCATCCCATCCGCCCAGGGGAAGTGGAAAGAATAGTTTCAAGATGTAGAAACATGCATTTTGAAGTCATGAATTATTTGTGGACCGATGGGTTAATGGTGGGGAGTAAGGGTTGAGAATACTTGAATTTCTGAAAAAGTAATGAAAATCAAAAATGGACTGTGGGTGAGAGAGGGACAGGGCGGGGGGGGGGGGGGGGAGGAGGTGCTGAGTGAACTACACAAATAACTAATAAAATAAGTAGAAATGACAGTACAGATGGTGTATTGGGAATGCAGTATGTGGGAGTTTGTGGACTGCGAGACTGCCCCAGACCTGTCACGTCTGCAAGAAACGTCTCTGTCGTGACACACTCCCCGGCTCAGAATCATTGAGCTGGAGTGCGAGTTGGACACGTTCCGACAAATAAGGAAGGGGGAGGAATTTCTGGATAGTTTTACATCCAGAACTCAGTCACGCCCCAGAGGAAAGAACAGGTACAGGAAGGGGAGGCCGTGACTGTCAGTGAGCAGGTAGCGGAAACCTCGGAGAGGTAGGGAAGGAGATCCCACAGACACTGGGCCGACGTACTCGATACCCTGTGAGCACAAGGAGGAAGACTGTGGGGAAGACAGCCCAGGGAATAGGCACATGATTAATTTTCCACCGCCTTTCTCCTTAAATATCCTCAAGACTTTCTCGAGGCAACAATATTTTGGCCCCATTTCCAATACTTTCTCGGGTTTCGAAGGAACAAAGGCTCAACAAGAACACTGTGCAAATAATTTGAACGAGTTCGAACGGCTTGAACCGAGTTGCACTTAGAAGGACAAATATTTTCCAGGAAAAATGGGCACTAAAATAAGGAACTCAAACTGCAAACCATGGTTTTCTTACCTCGCTTTTCCTCTTTATTTATCCTATGCCGTGTGCTGAAGTGGCCGTCCTCGTGTTGTAGCTTTACCCATCTTTATTGCCTTGACACTTGCTGCGTAATTTGCTTTTCTTCGCATCTCTCCCTCTCTTGCCTCCATCAAGGCACAGCTCCTTTTTGACCGTGCCTTCAGCTGCCCTCGTACCCCCTCTGCACTCCCTCATCCCAACCCTGCGCCCCCCCCGCCCCCCACCCCTCCCAGCTCGGATCCTGATCCCTGACTGATCATCGGCTTGGGACGTCCTCCCGACATTTAAGGCGCTTTACAAATGTAATTTTGTTATTGTTGTTGTTCTCGCTTCAAAGAGTAAACACTGATCGGGGACAAATATAGATTTAATAATATTATTATTATTATTATTAAATATAGATTTAATCTAACAGGAGGCTTAATCTCAATTGACATAAGACCATTCACTACTGCACCGATTGGACCTTTTCCATTTCTTTGCCCTTAATTATACTTTTATCCTATTGTTCTGGTTTGGATTCAAGTTCATCTCATCCATGAAAGGTTAGTGCAATAAGCCCGGGACAAAGTCATTAACCGAATAATTTATGATTGAGTTGGGGGCCATTGAGAAGCTGTGCGTTTTTAATTGAAAGTTGTGGAATGCAACTGAACAAAATACTTAAGATCAGGAGCAAAGTTTTTATTAGGACGCAATTGAATCCATTAGGCAACTGGTCACCTGCGAATTTTAGCAAAGGCCTTGTAATTGGGAAAAAAAAGATTAGTTGCAGTTAAATAGCGCTGCTCTTTTGCCCTCATTCTGATTACATTTGTATGCACATTTCATAAGTGCGTTAACACGCTGAGAAACTGCACGTGCGGCTAAACCTCTGGAACAAAACCTTTCAATTAAATCAAATCAGCATTTTCAAATTAACGGCAGCAAAGAAATCGGACCCGTGGTAGTAAAATACAGTCTGTTTCGAGGAGGCAAATTAAGAGCTGTCTTTAGAAACCAGTGGAGGAGAAAATTCCACCTGGAATTCTTTGGTAACATGGAATTGTAGAGTGTCCAGTGCTTTGGAATATACTGCCTTCATTTTGAAGCCGATTTTCGATCAATTCTTTGAAGAAATACAAAGTTAAACCTGAATTGAACAATTTGCCTAATTCTGAACGCTCTAAGATGCTATGTTAAAGAGTAAATCCACACCCGGGTGAAATTTCACCCACATGTAATTGTACAGAGCATTAGGACATATTATTTTGTACTGTCGAGCATCATACAAGGCAGACACAATGTCATTTTGAGCTGAATGATCTCCTGGCTCTGTTTGTATTACTACATTCTCTTAATTAGGTTCCGTGAAACCTGAACTCTGATACGTATGCTGTTGTAATATACTTTTTAACAAAAGCCCATCACCAATCAATCGGTCATTTGAGTTCAGCACAAACAGTTAAGAATCAGAATTGGTGCGATTTCATTCAGATAGTTTTGTTTATGTATTGTGTCAAACTGCCGAGACATAACGTTAGGCCATTCAGATCACAGGGTTGCAGTCTGAACCGAGACAGGCTATTGCTCTTTGCCCTCTCAGAATCAAGTCCAAACAATGCTACTTATGTAAACTAACATCCTCAGTAAAATACAAACTTTGGTTAAGCTGCCCTAAATATTTGTAACACATAATTGTAAATGTAAATATTTTTAATAAACCTATTACGCAACAAACTGTTGGGTTTTTCCCTCACGGGCATCATTTAAACCAGTACATGTTAAGCTTGTTCAGTACTTATGGCTTCATTGGTATTAGCGGAAGATAATAAGTGATGGGCAGCAGTGTTCGGTGGGGGGATTCAATTTGTTTCAGTACACGGAAGGGGGGAGAATGAGAACTGTCCGATTTTCCCTCTCCCGCTGCAGGGTGCGTATGTGATTAGATTGGACAAGAATATAGCTGTTCTTGGCTCTAAGGACCCACTTCCTTCCCACTCACTAACACAATCGAACATTCAGTATCCAAGGTTATACGTGGTAAATGTCACTTAATCAAAGTTGCTGGCTATTGCTATGCATTGAATGTAGCTGGAAAGCGATCCAAGTCTTTGAAACCAGTCACTTGAAGTGTCTTATTCTTCTACTTTTGCTCAAACTAATATCCTGGACCTTATTTGCTGAGAAATCTAATTGATACGGGTCCTCATCCTGTTGGGAGTGGAAGATCAAAAAGAAATTTATCTGCACGCACGCACTAACTCAATCACACATATTGATCGGAATTAGTCATGGGAGATAAAGCAAAGGTGACTTCCGAGTCTCGTTCATTTAACAGGATAAGGATGCGAGGAGGAACCCAAGAAAGTTCAGTCATTTCGCGACACACAGTGCAACATTGTGATGCTTGACGTTTTAATGTTTTCTATAACAGAGTGCTGTGAGTGTCTCTCAGCGAGCTGAAGGAGTCAGAAGAAGGAAACTGACATTTTCTGAACAACCTCTCCCGGTTTACATCGTTTCACCCACAAAACATATCAATTCACTTTACAGTATATCCTGTGAAGCGCTTTGAGGCGTCTCGAAGACATGATAAGGCGCCGTATCAAATGCAAGGATCATTATTATTTACAGTACGTTCCCCAATTAAAGGGCATTTGCCCCTTCCGTTACTTTTCTCAGAATAAATCTACAATTTTGAAATGCACTATTGGAAACCTTAAGGTGTCTTCCCCTCCAGCTTCTACACAATGCAAAAAAAAATGCACCCTTTACAATTGATCATATAAGAGCAAGCCTCAGTAATACAGCAAATGGAATAACTCAGTGTCTCCAAAATTTACAGACAAACTTTTAATTCGTCTTCGCCGATTGGATAAACTCTCCCTAGGCTTGTATCCTGGCACATCACGAACCCTTGTGGTCTAATCAGTTACCACAAACATATCTTTATATAGAGTTACAATGCCACCCAGTGGTGATAGTCAACTGCTTCATTGACTTACAACTTCTGTACGTTAATTGTTTTTGTGAAAAGGGAGTAAAAGCTCGAAGGAAATTCAAAGTGTGGAACAAATGAGATGACAAAATAAATAAAATGAATTAAAAGTCAATGACTCAGTGAGCAGCTGAACAATGCAAGTTAGCAGAACATCAATTGGGGTTGTAAACCAGCGTGTAGACAGATGGCAGGTGAAACGGCTTAATTATGCCAGGTTTGAGATGTCCAAGTCCAGGGCCATGTAACACGCTTCCTCGGCACCAACTTAATCCAAGGCCAACGTCCTTCCCTTCCCACAAATCACCTCACTGGTAGGTCCTGGATCTCACCTGTGGACCATATGAAGTCTTCCTTCTCTACACCCAAGAACGACGATACATGAAAAATTGTTTGTGGCACATCTTATACAGTTCAAGCTTAATCTGCAATGGGGCTTTGCACCTGTGAACTGGAGATGAAAATGTCATCCTTTCACTAAACAATCCTGAAGAATTGAAACAAGCAAATGTTTGTGTCTACCAGAATCTGTAGACATTGATACCCTCTTCCTTCAAGCACTTTCCTCAAGACGTGTAGACAACTTGACATTCTGACACTTCCCAGTCAAAATAAGAGGGTAAATTGTCTAGTAAACCTTTCTTTTTAATAAGTCACTATTACAGTTACGAGGCTCATAATACTCAAGGCAAAGGCATCGTTGAACAATCAAACAATGCAGATAGACCTGTAGACAAGAAGTTTGGCTTCCAACCTGTGCTTTGAGATACTACAATTGTTGATGTGACACTGGGTTAAATCAGGGTGTTATTACAATCTACTGAACCATTACCCTCAGAGACAAGTGGCTAAACAACAAGTGTGGTGTGTCACACTTGGAATGGAAAATAGGGTGGGTGGGGGGGAGTGAGTACAATAATTGGTCCGTGTAAGAACGGGAAAAAAATAATCTCACTGGTTCTTCTGAAAAGTATCTTCAAAGGTGCCCTTTACTGGAAAGTTCACATGTGGGCATCAAGTGAGAACCAGGATTGTACGATGTTCACACAGGCCATAATGCTCATCATTTAGGCATCACTTGAAAACATGCCATTTGGCTGAGACTACCAGAGGGAACTGGTATTTGAGGAAGCATATCCCAGGAGTCACTTCTTTCAGTAAAGAAGGGGTGGGCAATGTTTCCTTGTTGAAAGGAGTAAGGAGGTTCCTACACAAACTTACTCCATTAGTGTTTCCCCCCCCCAAAATGGAACGGCGGGCATTCAAGACGCAACTCAGAGACTCACTGGGAATTTTTATTATATTGAATGAGAAAATAATTAACATGGTGAACAGGGGGGAAAATCATTCATAAATAACAAAACCTTACAAACTAATCAATTGTCTCGTAGATATGCCATTATATTTACTGCTGAACACTGTGCGGATGCGTGAATATATGTACAAGTCAAATTAAGTTTAAATACCCCTGATGACTGCATTAAATTATTAAGAGCTGCTATTTACATGTGTCTTTAAACATTTGTCACAGTAATCTAATACAAGTACTTGAAACACACAAGAGTTTCTCACAGCATACATCTTCTGTATTGTGACCGACTGGGCTCATAACTGAATTAGGTAAAATTTTGAACAGATTTTACTCTATAAACATTGATATAGAGGGAACGAGGCTTGAGTTCTGGCCTGTAGCGGAAAAAACTACACGCAAATGAACCGTAGGTGTCAATACGCTCATTAGGCCTGACTCTTGCACCCGGTGGACTAAGGGATGGTCAGCGTCTAGCTGGTCACCAATAGTGCATCCGTCCGTCTCACTTCTGATGGAAATTTCATTCCGGTCAGACTTCGCACAAGACCACTGGGAAATCCACATGGATTCGCGGATGGTCCAATTTGACCATCCCCTGCCAGGAATGAAGAGAAGCATTGAATCAGCCAACGGTAAGCAAAGGAGCACTTCTTCAACAACAGCATGCATTTACATAGCGCCCCTCGCACAGGCCATTCAGCCCATCGAGCCCGTTCTGCCATCCTGTAAGATCATGGCTGGATTGCGCCTCAACTCCAATTTTATATTAGAATTTTCATATTTTAGATGAGGAATTAGCCACATTATCACATTTTTTTAAAATCCCCAACATGGATTCTGTATCACCAACTTTCCCCTCCACGAACCCACATTCCCCAGCAGTCACGCTCATGCTCAAGTCAGAAGTGGGGCATCCAGTCTGCCTGTGCCACCCACTAAACTCAGTGTGCGTGCTGAAGAAGCCGAGATAACCACAATCCACTGTTCCCTCACTCAAGTCAGCGGGAATTAAGAAAGAAAAAAACCCATTGCTTGATGATATTAACTGCAGTGTAACAAGGTAAAGGGGATGTTGAGCGATGCTCTCTCTCGTGTTGGGGGTGGCTCTGACCCCTTTATGCAGCTTTCTTAACTGCCTTTGGAAATCAGGGAGAAATTCTCCAGGCAACTCCCCCCATCCCTCCTCCCCCAAGTTGGTTGTGGGTATTTTTGCTTTTCCTTGAGTTTTCCACCCCCCCCCACCCTTGGAGAGGACTCAGCAAACAGCACCACGAAAAGGATCTAGTATGGGAGGTGGAAATACAACAACAACTTGCATTTACATAGCGCCCGCTAAGGTGCCAGAACGCTGAAAATGGAGATGTGGGTTTCACACGAGCATGAAATTGCTGGGTCACTTGACCTTGTTTCGCTCCTCCGTTCTATGCATCTTCTTGCTCCTGACAAAACAACACCGTCTGAATTTTAAATACAGTACTGCGTGTTCTCTCCCCATTTACCTGAGGTATTAAATTTTTAGAGATTCTTTTCAGTTTTGCTTTTTTCCTTCCGTTCTTTGTGAAGAATGTTTCTTCGTAGAATTCGTGAGCCAAGTCACCATCTTCGTCAAAGAACATGGAGCTGGAGGGTAGAAGAAAATCCTTACTGAGTTGTGAGAAAAAGTGGACTGCCTTTCGGAGCTGCCCCTCATAAAGCAATAAATATTTCACAGCAAATATAAAACTCTTCCGCCTGAGCACATCCTATGGACTTCTTGTTAAAATGAAGAACAACAAATTGCATTTATATAGAGCCCTCCACACCGGCGGCGTCTCAGAGCACTTAAATGCGACTGTCAATCGCTGTTAGTTCATTTAAGCAATTTGCCGGGCGTGCTGGGCAAATTGCTGGGTTTCTAGTGGTTTAGAACCTTACGCAGATTTCTAAACCATTATTCTGTAGCCTCCACATGCAGGTTTCCTTAATGGATAAATGAAGTCCCATACTAGCTAAACATGCTTTTAAAGACAGTAGAACAAAACACACATAGTTTCTTCATGTCAGACAGGATTATCAGTACATCAAGTCTTGTTCTGTTTCCTCAACTGCTGAAAATAGGCCATTGTTTCAAAGCTACGAAAAGGTAAGTCTCATAGGTAACTGGGATTCCTTTGAAAGTCTGAATTAAAGCTCAAATTTTATTTCTACATTTCTACGTCTCACAGCGCTTCACCGAATATACTGTAAAGTGAACGGACTGTATATTTGTAGGCATGTTGAGCGATGATCTCTCTCGTGTTGGTGGTGACCCTGCCCCTTAGTGGAGCAGAGCCACCAGGAGTATCACCAGGAGTGCCATTTGTTCACTCCATTAATCTGACAAATGGTTGCATTGCTGAAGGTGCCTTCCTTCGGATGAGATGTTAACCGAGACCTCGTCTGCCTGTTCAGATGGACTTAAAGATCAAATGAAACTATTCAAAAAAAGAAGGGAGTTTCTCTGATATGGCGGCCAACAATACCCCAAATTTAAAAAAATAGTAAATCATTCCTTGGCTGTTTGCAGGACAGTCAGGACAAATTGGCATTCACCCAAACGCACAGTCACTAACACTTTACAATGAAATACTTTGGAACATCTTCTCAGCATGAAAGTCGCTATACGAAATGTAAGCATTATTATTAATAATAAATGTTCTCCCTTGTTCTTTGTGGCCTTTCATTCCTTTTTTGCTGTGTCAAGGTCAATAACCTGATCAAGTTACACTTAAGTTATGCAGAGCGATAACCCTCACACAGGTGTTCAGAACATTTCTAAACACTTAGCCTTTTTGTTTTATCATTGTGCAATTTCTTGGCCTACAAATAGGTGACATCAGCTCGATTAAGAACAGCGATTAAAAAGCTTTGTGGCGTAGCTCAAGATTTGAGAGTTTCTGACTTTTGCATCTACAAGCAAACCAACTTGGAAAAGGCAGTAATTCAATACATTTTTCAATAGATTACAAAACATAATTTTAAAAGCTCACCCAAACTACCAAGATCACAGTATTCAAGAGGAAGCAAAACACTGGCGTCTAAGTTTCAGGTTGACACAACCTACATTTAAAGGCCTCTGCCATGCAACAAGACCATTCAACTGGGACAGTCTAAAAACCAACCGATGGTGGGGCTCAGCACCTCTTCAAGAATCTGCCAAGTGACTCAATGCTTGTGCTTGCTTCAGCAGAAAATAACCCAAGCAAACGCTACTGTACCACATACCTTTGCGATTCATTATTCATTGTTAGCACAATCTCAGTAATAATTCTATTGCCCAAATGTACATACAGGGAGAGAGCAAACCACGCCATTAGTTTTATTTTCCCTGCCATGAAGCAAAGCAACAACAGTTCTCTGTCCTCCTGAGCTGGGGGTCGGGATCAGGGAGGGCAGGGGTGAGGGTGGAGGGCGGGGGGGGGAAGGTGAGTGATCGAAGGCACAGTCGAAGAGGAGGGTCTTGAGATGGGTCTTGAAGGAGGTGAGGGAGAGGGTGAGGCGGAGGGACTGCGACAACAGCAAAAACATGACCCATCAGACAACTGAATTCTTACGCTGATCTAAACTCACCCAACGGATCAGGCTTTCGAGATATCTGCAATTAGTTAGAAATTTATTCTCTCCTCCATCAACCCCACCGCCTTACCCTCATTGCAAAGCGACCGCTTAATGAGGTGAAAGGACCTAAAGCTGTTAATTCCTTCCTTTTTAAATTCCGTTTACATTCACTCTGTATTTGGCTACAAAACATACATACATACATACAGCCACTACGCTCGACAAGTGTATTCTGTGAAGCGCTTCGAGACGTCTCGTGGACCTGATAAGGCGCCACATCAAATGCAACGATTACTGTTATCCGCTCCCGAAGTCTTATTCCATCATCACAAGGAAATACGGGACCTTTCCTCAACATCGTGGCCACCTGCAGCCTCATCCCCAATGCACCCCAATGTACCAGGGCTTTGCAGCCCCACTTTCTGAGCACCCACCGCACCCCCCCCACCAGGCCCCCCCACCCCCCCCCCCCCCACCCCCCCCCCCCCCCACCCAGGCCCCCCCGCACCCCCTCCCCCCCAGGCCCCCCCGCACCCACCCCCCCCCCACAGGCCCCCGCACCCCCCCTCCCAGGCCCCCCCGCACCCCCCCCCACACAGGGCCCCCGCACCCCCCCCCACACAGGGCCCCCGCACCCCCCCCACACAGGCTCCCCCGCACCCCCCCCTCCCAGGCCCCCCTCCCCACAGGCCCCCCGCACCCCCCCCCCCCCACAGGCCCCCCGCACCTCCCCCCCCCACAGGCCCCCCGCACTCCCCCCCCCCCCCGCACACAGGCCCCCCCGCACCCCCCCCCCCAGGCCCCCCGCACCCCCTCAGCCCCCTGTACCTCTTGCGGGTGAACACGAAGGGAGTAACTCCCGGCCTGGACAGCCGGAAGCGGGCGAGGCCGTGTTCGCTGCCGCCGTTCGCCGCCGCCGCCGCCGCGGAGGAGGAGGAGTCGCCGCCGGAGGAGCCCGAAGCGAAAGGCCAGAAACCTCGGCCTTTCGAGCTGCTGCCGCCCATCGTGTGTGTGTGAACGAGTGAGTTGAGTGAGTGAGTGAGTGAGTGGGTGGTGGTGGGGGGGGGGGGGGGAGGGCCGGGGGTGGCGAGGAGGGTCTGTCAGCGAGAGAGCATCGCCCGAGCGGCCTGGGCGGGGCCCGAAGGCTGCGAGGCCGAGGCCGGGGCCTGAGGCCTGGGCCGCGGTGTGTGTGTGTGTGTGTCTCTCTCACACACCCCCTCCCCCCACCTGGGGCCTGGGCCGCGGTGTCCCTCACACCCCCCCCCCCCCCCCCCCCTCAGGCCCCCGAGCCTGAAGCCCGCACCGACCGACTCGCGCGCTCCAACCGTCAACGCGAGGACCCCGCCGAGCTCGAGGCTGCCCTCGCTGCCGCCTGATCCCTCTCTCTCCTCTCTCTCGCTCTCTCTCTCGCGCTCGCGGCCGCGCTCTCCCACCACCGCCGACGCCGTGTGACGCAACTTCCTGAAGCCGCTCCTGGGGCGAGAGCCCCGCCTCCCCTGTCACGTGACCAGGGCCGACTCCTCCCCCTCCCTCTGCATTCTCAACTCCTTCCATTGATAATAATATAGTTATACTAATCATTATAATAAGTCACAATCATTTGTAACGACCTGTGATATAATACGATAACATGTGATATAATACTGTAACCTGTGATATAGTACCATCGTATATAATATGATAATGTAAAATATATAATATAATAATGTATATAACAATGTGTAATTTAATATAATGCATAATGTGCAATACTGTATGATATACCATATGGCATATAATGATGTATTATATTAATATTGCACTACCGGCGCCTTGGGACGTCCTCCCGACGTGAAGGGCGCGCGATGCAGATGTGATTTGTACGCGAATGTATTTGTACGTAATCCATAATCGATAACAAATCACCATAATCCTCGCGTTTGGTGCAGCACCTTTCACGTCAGGAGGGTGTCTCAACATGCTTCACGGCGTACACTGCCTACTGTGAAGCGCAGCGATTGTATAATGGGACGTTGCCCTGCGTGAGGGGCGCTGTGTAAATAAATGCAAGTTGTTGTTGTTGTATTTGTAAGCGACTGTCGCTCAGCGCCTGCACTTTCTCTGCCCGAGCGCAGTCACAAACATCAGCGTTATTGTCTCCTTTGGCCAATATTTTCCCTCTGAGCTGCCAAAGTGGCTCCATCCCGTCAGGTCTGCCTCCTCCACAGTCGGTGTCGTTGCATCCGAGAATCCGACCATCTCTTGTCCCGAGGGTGGTATTCAACATCCGCCAGCAGATGGTGAGATTGGGCTTCGGAAACGTGGCATTGCAGTTTTACAGCGTTACAGTCACTGGATGATGATGACGATGATGAAAATTATCATCGTCCTTGGGTTTGCTGTAGGGCCTTTACCACGTCTTCGAGACGTCTCACCGCGCTTCATCGAGTGATGGCGCCACAAGATTTATATTGAAGGTGCAACTTGTGTAAGTGTAACTTGTGTTGTGGTTACAAGTTGCGTTTATGCAGCACCTTTCACGTCAGGAGGACGTCCCGCACTACGTTTACGGCGCTGAACACCTGAGCGTTATTGGGGTTATTGGGAGGGATGACAGAAAGCACAGACATGTTTTAAGATTGTGCCTTGTAAGAGGGGGTTGCGAGAGAGCGAGTCAGAAGGGCTCTGGGATTGAGTGGTAGAGTTAAAGGACGTTACAGAGATAGGCGAGACTGTGGATTGTTATTTGGGCTACCGTGTTGTCCTTTGTTAAACTGCCCACCCAACCCTGAAATATTATATAACTGCGTCTGATATAGGGAGGGGAGGAGGTGGAGGGGGGTCGGGGTGGGGGAGAGAGAGAGAGAGAGAGAAAAGAGAGGGGGAGTCTATCTCACAGTCTTACAAGATGAGGAACAGAATCATTAATAACAAACAAAGGCATTCACTTCATTTTATTGAACACAGTTTTACCTGTACAAAAAAAAACACGCTTTTTATTCAAACGTGAATTACAGACACTCTTTAGTCAGGATTGAAGCTAAGTTCGGGTTTTGATTGTTGTCCTATCCCTGCCCCAACCACACTTCCCACTGTTCATGATTTGGAAACAGACTGAATGCAGGGGGGGTTTAACTCTACAGTTTGCTGCTGGAATCCATCTAATAATAAAATCATCCCTGCATTTGATACAGCGCTTTATGACGTCCTTGATACGTCTCAAAGCGCTTCACAGAATATACTGCAAAGTGAAATGACTGTATATTTTGTTAGCCAAACGTGGCAGCCAATTGCACACAGCAGTGTCCCACAAACAGTCGTGGATTGAGTGACCAAATTATTATTTCTTTCATATGGCAGAGATTGATCTGCCTGAGGATTATCTCCATGAGGACAGCAAAACAGCTACTAAGGATTTGCTCAAATGTCCGTAACAGTCAAACTGTTATGTAAATACAAGAGTGAGAGAAACCATTTCATTGTCACTTCAGCTCATCCTCAGTGCCTTGGGACATCCTCTCGACGTGAAAGGTGTTATACAAATCTCCAGCACTGGGTAAGCATGTGTTTTTGGGCAAGGGACTTCAGAAGCAAGTAATAATAATCCTTGCATTTGGTATCACATCGACGAATGTGTCACAAAGCACTTTGCAGGATTTACTGTGAAATGTAGTGACCGCGTATTTGCAGATCTGGGATTCCTGAGAGTTTTTATATCTTAATTCAAAATAATCCCAAATCGCTGACCCAAAGCTTTCTTCAGTCCTGACTGGATACAGAAACACACAGTGGTAACCAAGCGTCTCATTCAACTATTCCTCCAACACCCTTTCACCCTGAAAAGTAAGTCTCTCAGACAAGAATGTGCACAAATGCATCATAAACTGTAACTGCCGGGGACTGACGGACATTTCCTAAGTGGTTTGTGTCATAAACATCGGTTGCTGTAGGTTAAGTCCAGTCTGCGCCAGGGAAAACCATCGCTGTAGCTACAACAACAACTTGGTTTACACAGCGCCCCCTCACACAGGGCAGCGTCCCGGAGCGCTTGAGAGTGGCAGAGCACGACACCGAGCCGGGTGGGGGGGAGGGAGGGGGAGGGGAGGTGACCGTAGGCACTGGTCGAAGAGGAAGGTCTTCAGGCGCGACCTGAAGATGGGGAAGGAGGTGGCAAGGCGGAGGGATAGAGGTAGAATGTTCCAGAGTTTGGGGCGTAGTGGCTGAAAGCGCTGCAATTCTGCATTAACTGCATAATCTAAAGGGACTGAGGTCCTTTAATGCAACATAAAAATAACCGCTAAACCTCTCTCCTTGGGATTCGCTGACATAGGAAAGGTTTCACAACTTCACCATTTGAAGAGGCAGGTAGCTTTATCCTACATACATCAGCCTCTCCCGCTCGCACACACAGAGTACTTCAGTGTGTGAGTACTCTGGGGGGGAGACAGAGTAAGCCAATAACTCGAATGTCAAGGTAAATCAATCCTCTTGCCAATGAGCCTTCACAGCTGGAATGGAACATTTTGGAATCTGATCGAGAAGCCCCTGGTCAATACCAGAAGAATCTTTACAAACCAACATAGAAATTAAAATAAATAAATAAATGAGTGAAACAGCAGCTTTACGATGAGTCAATCTCACCGGGACTCTTCCCTCTTACAAGCCCTGCAAGCAGTAAACCACCCACTAAAGACCACTGACAACTGGGCAACCCAATTACTGTGCCTTCCAGCCATCGCAGATGTTTCTGAGATAAGAGTACGCTCAGCACATTAAAGGTATAAACCCCATTCTGAGTTCGAGAAACCACCGAATACAGAAGATATTAAACATAGCCTGACTGATTGACTGACTGTCTGACTGACGCAACTCACAGGCATTCTTGTGGGTTGTGGAAACATTTTCTGTATTGAGCCTTCCCTGTGGTTTATCTTGACTCCCCCTGTGCATTACACACAGTTCCCTCCATGGCCGGGAGCCAAGGCATTCTGCGTGCGTGAGATCACATCAGGGCCAACAAGACCGGAAGTACTTTGTATCCCGGCCCCTCTTTCTTGTCTCTCCAGGGGTCTGGCTAGGCAGAGCTTCCGCTGAGCAAGGATGAGGAGCTCACGCACTCTCATGAAATGGCAAGGGACGTGAGATTCGACCCACCTTTCGCTCCCTGTTGGGGATGGGAGGAGATGTGGATCATCGGTAAACAATACCCTGGCACATCTCGCTGAGGTTGGAAATTCCCCACTTGCTGAACCGAGAGAATTAATTCTAAGCTGCAAACAAAGCCTAACCGTAAACAAGTCGGGTTGGTTTCTTTCTTTAATCTTAAAAATAAAACTGCTTTGAAGTCAAATTCGACATGTCGTAGAGTTAGCCCTAAACTCCCCCCCCACCCCGCGAATTTTCCCCAAGTTCTGAGTCTAGCAGCTCGTTGGGAAAAGTTACGGAAGTTCCCGGAGGAAAATAATAGTTAAATAGTTTTTTTAAGGTGTGTTGAAGGAGCAAGAATAAGTGAGCGAGGCCAGGAAACATCTAGACATAAACAAACCCCCCGCTGATGGAGCTTTGCCCTCTGGTCGGCCTCACGTTGGCACCAATCCAGCGCTGCAGGTACTCAAGTCACCCCGCCCGCAGTGTACAAAAATCGCCCCACAGTGTTGCAGTCGTCTCCTTTAAATGTCCTGTCCTCTCCAGGTAAAAGTCTCTCAATCGCACATCGTCAACAGGAACAGCTTCCCCACCACCACACATTCCCCTCTCACTGCACTGCACCCACTCGCAAACTCAACCTCTCGCTTGGCAAATCCTCTCTTAGCCCGACCGATTGTGCCGAGAAATAGGAGTTGGGATCTTTTTTTTTGGACCTTTCGTACTTCTTTTATTCCTCCTTTCTCTCTATCTCTCTCTCTCTCTCTCTCTCTCTCACTGGCTGAAGTCCGAGCGGCGGCCGCGGTCAGCCAGGGGTCCTGCTGGACAGCTCTTCCTGTAGCCGCTCCCGACAGCGAGTGTACCTCTCAAACACCTGCTTAATGTGCGCGTCCTCTTCGCGCTTTAGGATCCGTAGGAAGTTCTGCAGCTCGGGAGGGGTGAAGGCATCCCACTGGAGGAACAAGGCACAGACAAGACATGTGTAACGCATTCGGTAACGCAAGACACACTCAGCAACCTGGCTTGGATTTGGGTTTAGATTCCCAACAGTCCTGTGTTGGGAAGAGCAAAGATATTCTTTTCAACTGCTCAGGGAGGTTTACATTAATCATAGAATCTAGGATTAAATTCCTTTCACAGAGGATGGTCCAACTGTTACTAATATTATTATTATTCTGTGAAGCGCTTTGAGACATCTAGAAGCCGTGATAAGGCGCCATATCATATGCAAGGATTATTATTGTTATTATTATTCCATTCAGCCCACTCTTAGTCGCCCAGATCTCAACCCAAGATGAATGTGTATCTTAACATCGCAAAGTGCAGCGCAGTGGCCTGTAGTTATTCTAACTGTCCGTGAGTCACAGTCTTTTTGGTGGGGGTAAAATGAGCTCTTTTGAGTTGGCGTTGAAACAGCAAACACATAGCGGACACGTCCACATTTAAATGAAATGAAATGAACCCTAAACGCCGGGGCAAATCAGGGGTCTATCCACCTCACTCACTCTGATGTAATCGGGTGTGAGCAATCACCAGCTGCTCAGTGACGGTCCCACTTACATTCACTTCTCCCGTCTCGTTCTCCCTCAGGACAAGGCTCAGCATCTTGTCGTCAGGACCAGCCAGGAGACGCAGGTACAAGGGGTGTTCCTCATCCGACAGCTTACGGGTGTACACTGTGAAGATAAAAGACCCAAATGCCATCTTTAACTCAATTCCAATTCCTGGAGGAGCTTCCTAACAGCACCCAAACTACTAAGTCCATCACACACACCCCTCCCACCCACTCCCAACTAGGAATGTGGGCTCAGCCAATGGCTAAGTACTTAATGGCACAGATTTGATTTGAACCCGATAATAATAATAATCCTTGCATTTGATCACAGCGCTTTATCAAGTGTTCGAGACATCTCAAAGCCCTTCATACAATATACCATAAAGTGAATTGACTGTGTGTTTTGTGGGTGAAACTCGGCAGCCAATTGCGCACAGCAGCGTCCCCACAAACAGTCGTGGATCGAGTGACCACATTATTATTACTTTTTGGGAGGAATTATTACCCCCGGAAAATGATCCGCCAATCGACTAAGAAACCGGGTTAAATGTAAGTAATTAACCATATTTAAATGTAGGGATTCAACCCACGTGTGTATTTATTTGCGCAACACGCAGTGAAACTGAACAAATTCTTCGAAGAGAATAAAGCGTGTGAGATACGATTCAGGATAAACCTTGGGAAAGTACGAAAAGGGAGGATTCCAGATAAATGCCTTACTGCTTGTAACACAAGTCATTTACCAGGGAAAGTAAAGGGAAACGGGACAGAGGAAGCTCCCCAAAGCCACCGCACAAAACCAGGAAGCTGTCGTTGGATAACAGTGGGCTTCGATGTAGCGGGAGAGAACAGGAAGCCAGCTGGGAATGTTCAGCTGAAATATTGCTCCACAGTTTTTACCTCCCTTCCTTCCCTCCCTGATGTTTCCTGGAGAATTTCTCTGGTTCCCCTCCCAAGTACCGTTCCTTCCCCTGTAAACCCAGGTAGTGAGTGTTGGCAGAATATTCAACTGTAGGGCTTCATCACAGCCAAAGCTCCCCAAGCCCAACATATAGAGTTAATAATAGTGACAATCCATGCATTTGATACGACGCCTTATCACGTCTTCGAGACGTCTCAAAGGGCTTCACAGGATACACTGTAAAGTGAATTGACTGTAAAGTGTAGTGATTGTATATTTTGTGGGCGAAACACGGCAGCCAATTGCGCACAGCAGCGTCCCCACAAACAGTCGTGGATTGAGCGATTAAATTATTATTATTTTGGTGAGGGATTAGTACCCTTCGGAAAAGCGATCCGCCAATGGACTAACAACCGGGTTCCTACTTACTGCAGGTAAACAGAGACGTGTGTGTGGAGGAAAGAAACTTGTCTGAGGTTTCTGAGGTCCTGCCCAGGAATTGAACCCGGATTCTCTCGCTTGCGAGGCACGAGTGCTCTAACCACTGTGCTACAGGACTGCACATCCAGCTGAGAGAGCGCGCAAGCAAGAACACCGGGTTGAGATTTTTCCTCACCAATAACCAACCCAGGAACACTGAGACCAGGAAACAAACCTGGAATATCCCCCGGTGTGCGCGGGGCCCCATTGCCCAGTTTGAGAGGCTGCTCTGGCTTTCTCTAGATTAAGGAACGGTTTGGCAGGTTTTATTCGGGCGGGCGGGTGGGACATGCGTGGGGGTTCGGGTCTCACCTTGGTCTTCTTTCTCGATGCGTTCGAAGAGAGCGAATTTGCGCGGATTGTCGACCACCAGGAACTTGTTGAGCAGGGCCTCAATCACCTCACTGGCCCGGGTGACGCTGCTGATGTGAAGGTGCTTCACTGTGTCCTTCGGGAGGTAGAAGGACGTGCGGCGTTTGACCGGCTGAGAGCGCGTAGCCCCCGTCTTCTTGGTGTCGTAGATGGACTGGGGCTTGGTGTTGGCAGACACTGAGATCGGGCGCACCAGCTTCAGCTGCACTTTGATGAATCCGGTGTAGGTTCCGTCGCTGTTCTGAAGGCGTAGAAATAGGGGGAGAAAACACACATACACAGTGAGCGCCCACACCTCACAGACAAACCACACCAGTTTACAACAACAACAAATGACGTTCACACGTTAAGGAGGACGTCCCAAGGCCCCCGACAGTCAGGGATTTGGATCCGAATTGGTGGTTGAGATCAGGAGGGGTGCAGGGCGGGGGGGGGGGCGGCGGGGGGGGTTGGGATACTGTATCGTAAAGACATTCACGCTCTGAGGAGAATGTTTAGTGTTCATTCAATTTAACGTGTTTTGAGATGTCCTCCCAACATATAATAATAATAATAATCCTTGCATTCAATACAGCGCCTTATCACGTGATTGTGACGTCTCAAAGTGCTTCACAGGATATACCGTAAAGTGGATTGACTGTGGATTTTGTGGGCCAAACATATGTAAGGCTTATTATTATTATGACTACTCCTGATAATGTCTTACATATTTCTGCTTCTGATACCTTTCTCCACAGTACCTTATCACCAGAGAAAGATTATAAAACTCTCCTTCGTTATAATAACAACAATAATCGTTTGCATTTGATGTGGCGCCTTATCAAGTCTTCGAGGCGTCTCAAAGCGCTTCACAGAATATGCTGTACAGTGAATTGACTGTATGTTTTGTGGGCGAATATAATTAGAACAATACTTTGCGACACTCACCAAGGTCATTAAGAGGTTATTGGCGATCTGTGCGTTGTAGTCCCGGATCTTGCGTTCAATTTCGTCTCGCGAGAGGATCTGCTTCTCCCAGTCAATGCACTCATCCTGCGGAAGACACACTAGCATCAGAAAGACTGAAGAGAAACTGCGGCCTTTCAGTCAACACCTGGGTTGGATTGAGGTCAACAAGTTAAGGCAACTACACACGGACCTACGTGGTGAAATGGTAGTGGTCAGTTTATGAAAACCTGCCACTAACTCTGGATGAGGCAGAAGATAGGCCTGGAGTTCTCGCAGAGATCGGGGAATGCAGGGAGAGGGGAGGGGAGGAACCAAAGCCCGGGGAATGGAACAAAACAGAGGAGAAGGTTTAAGGTCTGGAGGTCGATCTATAGATCTGAAGGCTGGAAGGCAAACCCCGAGAGAGAGAAGATTCGCCCACGAAAATATACATTCAATTCACTTTACCGTATATTCTGTGAAGCGCTTTGAGACATACTATACTAATAATAATCCTGGCATATGATACGGCGCCTCATCACGTCTTCGAGACGTCTCAAAGGACTTCACGGGATACACTGTAAAGTGAATTGACTGTATATTTTGTGGGCGAAACGCGGCAGCCAATTGCGCACGGCAGCGTCCCCACAAACCGCCGTGGGTTGAGTGACCAATCATTTTTTTAAGAAGTATTTCTATGAGAGAAAAAAGATAAGGCGATAAGGCGCTATGTCAAATGCAAGGATTATTATTATTTTTATGTGTGGGGTCCCAATACGCTGCTCCAACCAACCCAGACCATGACACACTTCAGGAATGATGCATAATCTTTCTGGCAGCGTACGCCCTGCTATGTTTCAGAGTGTATCATAAAAGGATACAGCATTTAAAACATCCTGTCCTGCCCACTCTCCACATCTTTAAGTTATTAATATTAATCAAAAACACGGGAGTGGTGGGGGGGAAAAAAAACGCCTCCTGGCTCTCGCCTAATCTGCGTCTCTGCCTTCAAGGCCTCCCTTTCTGGAACATTGCTTCCCCCCGTGGACCCGCGAGCATTTCCATTGCGATCTCGGCTCCTCTTTCCACAATTATATTTTCCTTCTGCACCAACGAGCCGTCAGTCACTGAGAGGCTCTCACTGCTAATGGGTGCTCTCCGTTGACCGGTAATTGCACTGAACGATCGCGTTTGAGATCTTTCACCGAGCAGACCTTTTGCCGAGGTTTTCGTATCACCAGCGATCCACTCCACCACTTCTTCGCAAACGTTAACCCACCGCCCCCAACCAAACCCGGAGATTAAAGCGCATCACTGCATCACCCGGTCATAATAATCATCCTCGCGTTTGATACAGCGCCTTATCACGTCTTCGAGACGTCTCCGAGCCCTTCACAAAATACACTGTGCATTTTTGTGGGCGAAAGGCGGCAGCCGATTGCGCCCAGCAGCGTCCCCACAAACAGCCGCGGATTGAGTCAGCGCATTTTTGGGGGGAGGGTGGGAAATGATTATTAAAGGTGAACAGATCATGTCTAACCCAATCCGCCACCTCAGACATCACCGTTAAATCGTGGGCCCCCTCCCCACTGACTCTTGTAACGATGGTACACACAGACACCCGCACAGACTGACGCAGACACGGCTCAGGGCTGGCTCAGTAAGCTGTGCGCCTTGTGTTCTTGCTGTGCTGATTGAGCCATCATGTCAGCAGGGCCTCACGCACATTGCTGTCAGCTCGGCTAATACCACAGCACCACGTGGTGCAGGCTGCAGTCATTCTTTGAATACGTGGCCGGCTTGTGCTTTCAAACCAGTTACGTGCGGACCTTACAATAATCGTTCCAACAGCAAACGTACTCACTGACTGACTTGACTGCAGAGAGACTAATAATGAGCAAACCATGAGAGCGTTGATCTGCAAGCCTGCACACCGCCCGGGCTGATCATAACTCACAGGGTATCACAGGGCTTGACAGGGGGAATCGAGCAAAAGAAAACTGGAACAATGTCAGCCAGGCGGGCGGTTTGGAAAATCCTCGCTGGAACACAACGCAACAATAGTGCGATTAGTGATCAATAAAACTAAATAATAATCCTTGCATTTGGTATAGACCCTCATCACGGCTTCGAGACTTCCCAAAGCGCTTCGCTTCGGATGCACTGTAAAGTGTATTCACTGTGTATTTTGTGGGTGAAAGGCGGCAGCCAAATACGCACGCCAGCGTCCCGCAAAACAGCTGTGGAATTGAGTGACCAAATTATCGTATTATTATTCTTTTTTCGGAGGGGATTATCACCCCCGGAAAAGCGATCCGCCGATCGACGGAGGGTGCAATTACCTTCCGTCAAAGGAGGCAATAGCAATGCAACAGAACACAATGCTCAGCGGGGGACTCGCGAAGCAACAAAGTGAAGGCCCACGGAACTCACTCCCACAGGTTCCCAGCGAGTTATCCTATCTGTCTATCTATCACCTTGGCGGGGGGGCGGGGGGTGCGCGTGGGAGATCGTGAAACTCTAATCAATGCTTCGGAATCAAGGGTGGGGGGGGTTTGGGTAATGGCCTGTCAGGATGGTAAAGGGTTAAAGCCGCAGGAAGTGAGATGTGTTGTTCGTTGTTGTTGCTGCACCGCCTTTTAAATGAAACTTCCTGAAGTTTCCCAGCGCCAGTGGACGGAGCAGGTCAAGGAAGGAAGCCAACTGTTTGCAGATAGGGAGGAGCCTGGCCGGCAATCTCCCAGCCCTGGCCTCTCTGATCAGGGACGTTCCCACAGTGACTGAGCGCTGACTGTCTGTATCAGGAGGGACAGCACATCCGGCTTTGCCTCACGACTCATCTCAGCATTACATCACCACAATCCGAACGAGAAAAGGCCATGTGCGATCGCCCGGCTCTCTAGCGATGGGTCGGTTGGATTGTGAAGCGTTTCGAGACGTCTCGCAGCCGTGATAAAGGCTCCATATCAAATCCATTAATTATTATTATTAGTATCATTATTATTCACTGCTCGGTCTAAGCCTTTTAATCAGCTAAACCTGCGATCAATCCAACCGCACTGGAGTCACACTGCGACTATCATGTTGCTTTTTCTCCCCCCCCCCCCCTTTTGCTGCTCTCCTTTTGGTAAATAAATAATAATAATCCTGGCATTTGATACAGCTCCTTATCGCGCCTTCGAGCCGCCTCAAAGTGCGTCACCGTATATACTGTAAAGTGAATCGACTGTATATTTTCATAGGCGAAACGCGGCAGCCAATTGCGCGCAGCAGCGTTCCCCACAAACAGCCGTGGATCGAAACCTCTGAACAGCAACAGCTCTGCACTGTTGGCTTGACCACAATCACGAAAAATAACGCTGGACCAGCACAGACTGCATCCGGAACATTCTGTTCATCACCGCCGATCACTAACCACATCTTCCTAATCCCCAGGACACGCTGTACAAGGCTACCAACACACGGAGCTTGGCTCCATCACCGTTTCGTTAGAACAGTCGAAGAGGAAGGTCTTCAGGCACGATCCGAAGGTGGGGAAGGAAGGAGGGGGAAAGGCAGAGGGATTGAGGAAGAGCATTTCAGAGTTTCGAGGGGGTAGCGTACATATAATACCGCATAGTCTGAAAAGTCAGTTTGGTAATGAAATGCCATGCACTCGAAGAATTAGATGGAAACCCCATACGTTCCATGCTGGCTGGTATAAAATGAATATCGTTCCTTGTTAAACTGGGACATTTATGCCGTGACAGCTGGTCTCCCCAGACTGGCTGAGTGTAGACTCATCTCTCAGATCAGTGAGTCAGTGTGCCTGAGGTCATCTGCTCTCTCTGGCTGGTTCTCAGAATGAGGAAGTTCGGGGGGTTAGGAAGTGATGAGGAGATATGCAATGTAGACTTCAGCTTCGTGGAGGAGGGGAGTGATAGCCAACATCATTATACTACTACTAATAATAATCCTTGTGTTTGATATAGAACCTTATCACGTCTTTGAGACGCCTCAAAGCGCTTCACAGGATTTTTTTGGGCGAAACACAGGAGCCAATTGCGCACAGCAGCGTCCCCACAAACAGTCGTGGATTGGAGTGACCAATTCATTTTTTTTAAGGGATTATTACCCCTGAAAAAGCGATCCACCAATCGATTAACAACCAATTAAATTCCTACTCACTGCTAGGTAAACAGAGGAGTGTGTGTGGAGTAAGGAAACTTGCCCAACGTTTCGCCCTGCCCGGGAATCGAACCCAGGTCCTCTCGCTTGCGAGGCGAGCGCTCTAACCACTGAGCTACAGGACTCCATTATGTTGTAGGTCTAGTCTCCGCTGGGCGGGCTGGCAGGCGGGCTCCAGTCGGCTGCTCACACGCTGGCACTCAGGGTTAGCAGATGTGGAGACCACAGGGCGGTCACTGTTTGTCAAGTGCATACTTTGTTGGGGGCAAAGTGAGGACAGGATGTTGGTCTGAGCTCTGCAATTGGCTTTGCTGCTGAGCAGAAATCATTTCGAGCCTCAACGCCCTCCGACTAGACGGAAAAATAGGGCATTTTCATTTGGATACCCGCAATTGTTTTGGCGTCTATGATATAATAATAATCCTTGCACTTGAGACAGCTCTTCATCAGGCCTTTGAGACGTCTTAAAGCGCTTCTCCCAGGATACACCGTAAAGTGAATCAACCGTACATTTTGTGGGCGAAACCCGGCAGCCAATTGTTTCGCCCCCAAAAAAACACATGTCTAGTTTGCAATTTAGAAACTTTCAGACAGTTGCAAAGCCAAGTGGCTGACAAGAGAAAGGGGGCGGCAGGGGAGTGGGGAAAAGGGAGGGAGAGAGGGAAGAGGGAAGGAGGGGTGACAGTAAGATTCATTTGAAAAACAGCCACTCAAAGCCAACAGAGTGCCCACTATTTGCATTGCCCTTAGAACGAGAAGGCCTATAATAATAATAATAATCCTTGCATTTGACATAGAGTCTTATCACGTCTTCGAGGCATCTTAAAGTGCAGAATATACCGTAAGGTGTAGTGACTGTATATTTTGCGGGCAGAAGAAACTAAAGAAACTGAACTGGGGTGGAGAGGAGGAAGAGAGGAGAGGGGATAGAAGGGGGTGATGGAGAGCGGGGAGAGGAGAGGGGGTGATGGAGAGGGGGGGAAGAGGAAGAGTGGGGGAGGGGGGGGGGGTGCGGTGGGGTGATGGATGGAGTGAGTGAGTGGTGGGTGTCTGGGCTCTCTCTCTCTCTCTCTCTCTCTCTCACCTTGTACTTTCTGGGCTTCTTGATGAGGGAAGTCCGGGCAGTGAAGTACTGTTCATATTCCGAGTCTTCCTCCTGACTGCAGTAGCCACTGCTGCTAGTGCTGCTCCACGTCATCTGGAAACAACCAGGTGTGAGGAGCCGGGGTCAAACACAAGAAACTTAACCGGGAAAGAGAATCGTCTGAACCGCACTGAACTGAACTGGAAGTGGGAGAGAGAGAGAGAGAGAGCGCTGCCTAAAGAGAAGCTCTCGCACTGCAACACCTCCACGCTTTGACCGATCAGTCAAGTCGTTGGCTTGCTCACACTCACACGCTCTCGGCCGCAGTCTCTACACTGGGCGCTCTGTCTGTCTCTCGCTCGCTCGCTCTGTTTCTCTGTCTGTCTCAGTTGAAACCCTGCTCTCTCTCTCTCTCTCTCTTTCTCCTCTCTCTCTCTCTCTCTCTCCCTCGTTCCTCTCTCCTCTGTGCGGCAGTTGGAATTGGAAAATACACACAAGCCTAAGTCTCAAAGCTGATTTGCTGAGCGGAGACACGGGGCAGGGAATGTGTGATCTCATTGTGGTTCCTCCTTTACCACCGCCCACCCACCCCCTCCCACCGCCTTCTCTCTGTACACGCAACAGCACTGAAACCTCAGTGATTTCATCCCAAAACCATTTCCACAGCCTTTACATTTAGAAACTTGCAGCTCTTAACCCTTCCCCCCCCCCACCCCCGGCCTTTAAATTTAGAAACTTGGCAACTGTTAACCCTTCCCTCCCCGCGGACCTCCTCGCTGTTCTCTGCAGTCGGGGAATTTATAATAGTAATTATTATTATTATTAATTATTATTATGATTAGCCGGTGGAAGCTGAAAGCGTTGTTTGTTTCAAGAACGTATTAGATAGATTTCTGCAAGAAAAATAATACCTTGTGGGGACGGCATTTGGTTTGGGACGTGACATGTCAAGCGATTGCCAGGCGAACTAGATGGACCTCGGTTTTCTTTTCGCCGGCAAATCCTTACGTTCTTATAAAAGAAACCTCTGTTTCTGGCTCACAGGAGTACTGCAGTTAGTCAATTCCTTAACTCCCTGTGTCCCAAACACACCCACAAACACACACACACACACACACACACACCCCACAAGAAAAATGCGTCACGGAATCACAGCCACAAGCAGTTAGCAGCGCAGGATAGAGAAAAAGAATGAGGATGAGAAAGATATGAATGAAAACTCCTTGAGGCACAATGACTTCATTATAGAGTAATTGGCTGCCTCGTTTCGCCCACAAAATATACAGTCAATCCACTTCACAATACATTCTACGGAGCACTTTAATAATAATAATATGAATAATACATTACAAAACTACAGTTTGTTTTGCGCCTTTGACGTCAGGAGGATGTCCCAAGGCACTGGACGTAATAATAATTACTCATAATGATTATTTTTATTATTACTGACTGGGGCCAGGAGACTGTTGTGTGCAAAAGGGAAGGAGTTAAATAGTGCGGATGAGTATATAATAATAGTAATAATAATAATAATCATTGCATAGCATATGATGGAGCACCACTGGGAGGCATCTCAAAGCGCTTCAATATTCTCGAGCTCGTTACGCGGGGAGTCATTAAACAGGACTTTTCTCCAGGAAACAGAGTGGGTTGTGAAGTCCACAGCAGGTTGAGTGGTGTGTGAGGGAGGAGAAGTCTTAAAGCATTTTGCTTTTCATAAAAAATGCACACTCCTGCTGATCCAGAGGGCTGGAAGCTCAGCGCGAGGATCTGGGTTCGATTCCCAGGCAGGGCGAAACGTTGGCAAGTTTCGTTATTCAACACACACGCCTCTGTTTACCTAGCAGTGAGTAGGAACTCGGTTGTTAGTCGATTGGTTGGTCACTTTCCCAGCGGTAATAATCCCTTAAATAAAAAAATGTGGTCACTCAATCCACGACTGTGTGTGGGAGGGACGCTGCCGTGTGTAATTGGCTGCCGCGTTTCACCCACAAAATACACAGTCAATTCGCTTTACAGTGTATTCCGTGAAGCGCTTTGAGACGTCTCGAAAGTGTGATAAGGCGCTGTATCAAATGCAAAGATTATTATTACTTATTTATTATTAGCCGAACATTTGCGGATTCAGCTGATCTCTGGGCAGAGGCAGTGACTCCGGGGGCAGAAGGAGAAAAATAAGCTCAATTCTCCTCTGTCTCGCTCTCTCCAGAGACTCCCGCTGGAAAGTTGGTGAGTGTAGGGGGAGAGGAGAGGATAAGGCTGGACTGGAAGCCTTTGTGTGTGAACCTAAGCATCAAGTAAGAGCAGAGGCGGGTTTTCCGATCGTGGGAATTAGCACAGGCGATCCCAATCCTGGTCTATTAATAGATGCGAGAGCCAACCAAGGCTTCCATGTTGTGACCCGCAAAACTCTAACTGTCCCAGAGAGGGTAAGGGTAGGCAGGAGAGGGGGAGCTCGAGAAGGAGAGAGAGAGAGACAGACAGGCAGACAGACAGACAACAACAACAAGATTCCATTTATAAAGCGGAGTATAGGAGAGGGTGAGAGTGAGAGAGAGGGTACAGGGAGGGAGGGAGAGAGAAAGTGGATACAGGAGATGGGAGAGGGGGGGTGGGGGGAATGGAGAGATAGAGAGAGAGAGAGGGGGGTGGAGGGTGGGGAACTGGAGAGGGTGAGAGAGGGAGAGGGAGGGGTGGGGGAACTGGAGAGGGTGAGAGACGGTGTGAGGGGTCGGGAACTGGAGAGGGTGAGAGAGGGAGAGAGAGGGGTGGGGTGGTGGGGAACTGGAGAGGGTGAGAGAGGGAGAGAGAGGGGTGGGGTGGTGGGGAACTGGAGAGGGTGAGAGAGGGAGAGAGAGGGGTGGGGTGGTGGGGCTGGAGGTAGCCAACAGGTGGACAGCAGCCACACTCCACACAGTGACTCTCGGGGGTGGGGGAATCCTGGAACGGTTCAATCTCCGTCACATTTTGGCCAAAACACAGGAGGCGAAATGTGCCAAAGCCTCGCCTGCTGTTTGTTGTTGCTCGTACCACGTACCCCACCTGCTTCCAGTTACTCCACACAGAGAAGGAAACACAGCCCCAACCTCCGCACAGTCTTGTTCTGCTCTTTTTTCCCGGCATTTCTCCCCCCCACCCCACCCCTCCCAGTATATCAGGATATTTACAGTGAATCCTGTGAAGCGCTTTGAGACATCTCAATGATGTGATAAGGCGCGATATCAAACGCGAGGATTATTATTATTAAATGCCGTGAAGCTCAAGCATAATGTTAGTTCTGTACTTGCAGTCCAAATCCGCGCTATAAGTTCGATCTTATCAGGAACGCGGGTTAAACCGGGGCCGTCTCTTATAGATCAGCGGTTTTAGCTGGTCAGACTCCAGCTGTTACCCCCAACTCACACTCTGGGCTCCCCCCAAGCTCTTGGCTCTTGACAATCTGCGCCTAATACTCTCTGGAATTAGGTAAGCAGGATGCATTCCTCCAGGGAGAGAGAGAGAGAGATCATTCCATTCCAACGATCTCTCTCTGGGATGGCCGGGTGTCGGTGGGATGGATGGAAATCACAGTTTGGTTTGGAGACCCTTAAGCAACGGTGATGGGTTTCCGGGTGTGTCAGACACCCCCGGCTGACCAGAAAAAAAATAATGACCTTAGAAATTGTCCAGTGCCAGTTGGCCCACTGGAGTTCTGCCCACAGTCTGGCACAACAACAACAACAACAACAACAAATTATATTTGTATAGTCGCCTTTCACGTCAGGAGAACTTCCATCCCCTTTGTGTTATTCAGTCTCTTACCACATTGGTGTCTTGCTCCAGCACCAGCTCTGTGATGTCCACATTCTCCGATGTCTTGGTCTTAGGGCGATTACAGTCCAGTTTGATCAGAGGCTGGCAACGATAGTGACACCGGAACTTACAGTCTGAAACAGGATGAGAAAAAGTCAGAGGGCTAATCCATTCAGTAATAATTCCTTCAAACAAAAAATAATAATTTGCTCATTCTGTTTGTGGGACACAGGTTGTGTGCAATTGGCTGCCGCCTTTCGCCCACAAAACATGCAGTCACTACACTTTACAGTATATCCTGTGAAGCGTTTTGAGATGTCTCGAAGAGGCGATGAGGTTCTGTTGAAAGGATTATTATTATTATTACGACTCCAATTGAATTCGATCTCAAAGGATAACCCCCCCCCTTTCTTGCTCACTCCCATTCTATGCAATACAATTCAAATTTAGATTTACTGTAAGTAGCACATTTCACAGTAGGAGGACATCGCAGGGCGCTATCAAATCCCAGTGTCTTCCATTCCTTCATATTATTCTTCATTTAAATGAAACCCAATAATAATAATACTTGCATTTGTCATAGCGCCTTATCGCGTCTTTGAGACGTCTCAAAGCGCTTTGCAGAGGTGAAGTGGAGTGACTGTATATTTTGTGGGTGAAATGCGGCAGCCAATTGCGCACAGCAGCGTCCCCACAAACAATGGTGGATTGAAGTGACCAATTTATTTATTTTTTTTGAAGCAATTATTGCCCCTGGAAAAGTGATCCACCAATGGACTAACAACCGGGTTCCTACTTACTGCTGGGGAAACAGAGGCGTGTGGGGTAAGGAAAACTTGCCCGACGTTTCGTCCCACCCAGGAATCAAACCCAGGTCCTCTCGCTTGTGAATTGACTGTATATTTTTTTGTGGACGAAACAAGGAACATGTTCCCTGATTATCTATTTAGTGCACGTTCTCTCTTGGTGCATTGGCAAGTATCACCTGGAAACAGACAGCGGCTCACTGAGTTATTGTGTGAGCCATTCAACCTTATCATATGTTTGCTGCTTTTGTTCCCATTGAATGGATGAGCTGAACATTTGCCATGGCTTGCGATGGAAGATTTGCCAACTGTTTATTTTTTAGCTGGACCGTAATCCTCATCCGACAGTTGCGTTTCCTGGCAAACAAGTCAGAGAACTATCAGGATTTAGCAGGAAGCTGTGTGTAATCTTTGAGTCCAAACAGATGAGTTTCTTTCTCTCTCTCTCTCTCTCTCCTTCTCTCCCACCCCCGTGCTTTTGGAGGCAGCAATGCATCTTGGATACAGTCAATTTTTTTTCTTAGTTCCTTGACCGCATCCGATTGGAAAAGAAACATTTCCTTCTGGCCAGTGACCCACAACCCCCCCCCCCCCCCCCCCCCACCTCCCCATCTTACTATCCTGGCATCTGGAACATGTGCTTAGCCTTATTTCCATTTGGCTTATCTCTCGCCTTGTGTTGCTGCAGAGACAGGAGAACGAGAAATCTTTGCTCAGACAGCTGATCTCAGCAGGGGAGGGAGGCCGGTTAGATGATACAGTTG